ATTTATTGCTGTTTGCTTCCTGACTGTGAATACAATACAACCAATTTCTTCTAGTTCCTACTGCCTCCAATGCCCTGCTCTGATTGAGCCTCACTTCTAGGTGAGCCAAAATAAATTCATTCTTCCTTACATTCTCTTCATAGAGGTGTTTTACCCCAGCAACAATAATAAAATAAGGGGTTCCAAGGTCTTGAAGACAGAGGGCAGGGAAGAATGAAACATTGGGAGATGACCTTAAAGGGGGTTGAGAGGAAGTGAAGAAGGGAAAAGAATTTGGAGGATGAGAGAAAAGGAGGACGAGAAAGAGCCAGAAGAACAAAATGAAAAGGAAAGGGAGATTTGTGCTATGGAAAGAGATTGCCAGTGTCTGTTGACCAGCATCTCTAAGGTGATGCAGAAATCTTGTTAAGATTATTAGATTTACTGTTTCAATAAAAGACAGGGATCAATTCCATGAGACGTCTTACAAAACTATGCAGTGGTTAATAGGGGGGAAAACCATAAAAGCAAACCCGATCCATCTGCCATGGGAGTCATGAGCAGCAGACAGGATCGGGAAACAGTACTCCCTGCTGTGATGAATTCCTTGTTCTCACTTAGCCTTATCAGGACAACACAAACTCACAGGAAGGCAAGAAAGAACAAGCATTTAGCCCATTTGTATCGAAGAGGTTCTGAGGGGTTTAGGCACGTTTACATAATTTCTGTTATGTGTCACCATGTTGTTATGGTCCCTCACTTTTGAAATGGCATCTATGTGGCCTTAAACTTGTGATTGTCCAGCTTCTGACTTTGGAACAATAGGATTAGAGGCGTGTGTCTGCATGCCTGGCTTGTCTTTGTACTTTGAGGGGGAAAATTCTTTTTTTTCCTGTTTATTTATTTATATATTTATAAAAAAAAACCCCTATCTTTTCTCATTTTACATGCCAAATCCAGTTCCCACTCCCTCCTCCTGCTTCCTCCCCTCCCCCATCCCACCCTCCATCCACTCCTCAGAGAGGGTAAGGCTTCCCATGGGGAGTCCAGAAAGTCTAGCACATTGCTTTGAGGCAGGACCAAGGCACTTGCTTGAGTTCCATCCTCATCGACACACACACACACACACACACACACACCCCTTATTTGAAGATAGTCTCATGAGTCTTATTCCCCACTACCAAACCCATGGTAAACACCTAGAATGTTCTCATTAGGAGTGGGGTCTTGACACTGTTTGGCACCAATAAGCAACAGGAATTCAATCTGTTGAGTGCGGTGAGAGTTTAGTGTCGTCTGATTGTTTCTGAGAAGCATTCTTAATTTGATGTGTTGAACTCTGGCAATACAGGTCCCTTTGGAGACATAAAAGAAGCCAACCTTTACAAGATGTTGACAGATGCTGTGACTGCTTTTTTACTGTGCAGCCAAGTTTCCTACTCTGCTGCATGCCATTAGGCATGTTGATAGGGCTCTGCTCGTTTTACTAGCCCGATGGGAAGGGGATGTTGGGGCAGGAGCCTCAAAGTTTCGCTCCTACTCTCTTTCTTTAACTTGCACATGTGTCTCAATTCCTAGAGAAAAGTAAGTTTCCATATTCATTTTGTATATGTTGCACGAAACTTTGTGGTTAAAAAAAAAAAAGGTCTCCACTATTGTTAGGCCTCTCTAGTTTATCCATTTCCTTGGGAATTTGGGCAGTAAAGACATGCCCATGTATGATAAGGGCCAGCATTTTCAGTGACCAGCAATGTCTTTAACCAGGGCATGTGTGGGTTTCAGGCCAGCTTATAGGAATCTTCTCAACCTTCCTGAGTTACTCCCTTTTTGCTCTGCCATATTCATGCACTACCCTGGGGTTTAAATGTTCCTCTACACAGCTGGATCACAGAGTTTTCTGGGTTGAAGTTCATTCAAACTCTTGACATTTTCTTTGCTGTTTTGCCTGCTTGTATGCCTGTGTACCATGTGCATGCCTCGTGCCTGCAGGAGGTCAGAGAGGGCATAGATCCCTTAGACTGCAGCTATAGATGGTAACGAGCCACTGTGTGGCTGCTGGGAACTGAACCCTCATTCCTGTAAGAGCAGTCAGTATTCTTAACTGTTGAGACATCTCTCCAGCCCCATTTTCTATGTTCAATTATTCTCTCTGTATTGCTTTATAAACCTGCAGGATGGTTGGACCCTTCACTTTTCACCTTTAAAATCAGTTTCAGAAGAAAACTGGGACCTCTTGGGAACAGAGGGAACACTTTCTGGATCTCCATTTTTGCAAGCCACATTTTGGGCCAAGAACCATATGTTACTTCATCATGTGGCTCCTGTGGTGGCCTACTTTGCATCAGGCAGAAAATAGGAAGGCACATTTTATGAGCACTTGTCAAGTGTTCTCTGCTAGAATTACAAGCAATAGTACAAAGCACACAAATAGAGCAGAAGTGGGGATGTCCCCAAACCAGACACAGGGCATCTTGTTTGAATACAAGGCACCATGAGAAATGACACCAGGCTGTGCAGGAGCAGCTACTTGTGGCACTTTGAACTCACTGAAACTTATAGGCAAGTTGCATTGTAGACTAGAAGGAACCTTTCTCCTTCCTTCCCTTCCTTCCTTCCTTCCTTCCTTCCTTCCTTCCTTCCTTCCTCCCTCCCTCCCTCCCTCCCTCCCTCCCTCCCTCCCTCCCTCCTTCCCTCCCTTCCTTCCTTCCTTCCTTCCTTCCTTCCTTCCTTCCTTCCATCTGTCTGTCTCTGTCTCTCTCTCTCTCTCTCTTTTGTTTTTTTTTCAAGATAGGGTTTTTCTGTGTAGCCTTGGCTGTCCTAGAATTTGTTCTGTAGACTAGTCTGGCCTCTGACTCACAGAGATTCACCTGCCTCTGCCTCTCAAGTGCTGGGATTAAAGGCATGCACCACCACTGCCTTACCAGAACCTTCTTTTGAGCTATGTGTGTGGGTCATTCTTACCATTTTTTTTTTTTTGATTTCCCAAGAAGGCAGTGTTGCTTGTCCAAGACCAAAGGGCTGTCTATGGCTTTGTTCCAGGAAGATAGCATAGCAAAGATTGAAGGATTGTATGGCAAGTGTTAGTATTCAGGCATCTGTACTGACTGCCCTTGGGGTCTTGGAAGAATGCATCCTCAACTGCAGCCACTAAGAGCACCACCTGTGCCCATTTGCTCCATTCCCTTTTAAAAGGCGGACCTTGCTTACCTTCTGTCTCTTTCTCTCTCTCCCCCTCTCTCTTCTTTCCTCTTTTTCTTTCTCTCTCTTCCACCACTCTTGTCTCCAGGGGCCAGTCTCTGCCCCCCCCCCCGTCCCCTTCTCTGTCCTGTTTTTGGCCCCTTCTCTCCTTTTCCAATAAACCTCCCATGTGAGCCCTGTTGCATGGTGCAACTTCTTTTTGCCGCATTTTAAAATAAATTGCAACATTGGTTCATAGTTACTTTCCTCTCATGACTTAGGCAAGCCATTTTTAATATAAGACTTAGACTCCTTAGGATAGGATAACTATTGAAACATAAAGCATGTTTCTTGCTTGATGTAGTTCATGGTGGTTGTAATTCTAATTTTTGCAGTTGATATTTGCTCTTATTGTATATAGTTTTGTATTAGGCTTAGAACTCTCTTATTTAGACAAAAGGGGGGTGCTGTGGGAACTTCTTCAGCCAGTAGCCTTTAAGATATCAGCCCACTTTGGGCATGGTGTCATGTACTATAAATGTAGACAAAAAGCATGTGTGGGCCTCTTGGCTGTTGGATTTGGTTCCAGTTACCAGTGAATGCAGAGGACTGCAGATTTCTACCCTTTCTGTGAGTTTATCCCCAGATAAATAAACCTTTGTTATACTCCATTTTGGGCTATTGTGGAACTCTTTTGTACACCAACAGAATGTTAGTACTCAGGCATCTGTACTGGTCTGCTTTTAGGGTCAGGACAGGATACATGCTCATCATAGGATGCAGCCACTAAGAGCACCTCTGTGCATATTCGCTGTGTTCCCTCATACAAGGTGGGCCTTACCCACCTCCTGTCTTTCTGTCTGTCTCATTCTCTCTCTGTCTTTCTCTTCTGCCACTCTTGTCCCCATGGACTAGTCTCTGACCCTCTCTACCCCTTCCTTGTTCCCTTTTCTGCCCCTTCTTTTTTCTCTTCCAATAAACCACTCATGTGAGCCCTGTTACATGGCATGGTTTCTCTTTACAGTGTAGCAAGAATAATGAACAAGCTTTTTTTTTTTTTTAACCAATGTTTCATCTGCTATCAACTAGTGGTATAAACTTTGAACACAGAACTTACATATCCTTAATTGTCTTTCTTTCTCTCTTTTTCAAGTTGCCTTTCTAATTTAAAACAGGAATGACGATATTGCCACATGTGGCTAGTGCACAAAAGACACTCAAATATCAACTCCTATTTGTCACTGTATTTCATTAAATCAAGTAGGCCCACATTTGCAAACCTAACCATCAGCTTCAGACACTGGGCCTGCTCTGTGCACCAGGGCACACAGTGGCCCATATTACATGACACGGACACTATGAAGACACCACCATGGCAGTTTCAGAGCTCATAGACCATGCCAACGCTTTGAAAATAAAACTCTTGTAGTTTCAACAGAAATGTATTTTTCCACGATAAGATGAACCTTCCTGTAAGTCATTGCTTACAGGGATTAAGAGGTCTATGTCAACAATAAGGCTGTTATAAACTTAGGCTCCACACTGTCTCCCACAGGAATTAGACAAGCCTCATGATGTGCTGGAGGCAGAAAAAAAAAAAAGTGACCCAAGAAAGGACTAAATCTTCGGTTGTTATGTGTTTTCCCATGTCAGCACTATGTTTTGAGAAGGCAGAAGGACGGCTTGCTCCACAAACTTGTCTGATCTTCCTGTGCTTAATGAAGTATAGAATGTTTTATTTGACCCCCCACCCCAGCAAACAAGATAAACAGGCCAGTTGGTCCTTGATATCGAGTATCAGCAGTCAAAATACTTGCAGAGCCTTTTAGAAATCAGAACATCACAGATTTAACAGGAAGTTGATGCCCCGTACTCATACGTGGCTATTAACAATCTTTTATTTTCTTTATTAAAAAAGTAGAAATGACAGGGAAAAAAAAACACACTCTTGACAGAAAATAATACCAGTGACCTAGACTCACTGAGCTGAGCCAAAGCTGCTTTTGTTATGGAGGAAGGAAATATCAATCAACACTAGCAAATCCTCATGCAATTGACAGGACTTCAGCCGTGTCAGAGCCTGGGGGATGTGCATCGAGAAGGCTGAACCAGCCAAACAGCAAATGTTTCAATGCACACATTGCCCAATCATGTTTTCAAATAGCATCATAAAAAACAAAGTTCTATATACAGATATGGTCCAAAATGTATCTTATGACAAGTCTCAGATATAAATTTAAGGCATCCAGATATTCTGCTCTGCTGGTGAGGTGTTTGTTTCCGTGGTCTTATTGCCGCCGTCTCCAGGAACTCCCGGTGGTGGCCGGACGGCATGCGTAAGACTTATAACAAGTGATCTATAAGAAGAGTTCCTTTGATTCTGACTCAGCATCGTGCTTTCTGCCGTAGGTTTTCTTCGTGTTTCTCTTGATGTCATTATGCCTAAACAGAAGAGAAACCACAGGCCAAAATTAGATAAAACCATGGTCAGGTTACAAACGACGACGCTGCTAAACAGCTCACCAAAAATGGAAGTTATCCATCCCCAAACCATCCTGAAGGGCAGCACTTCATTCCAGGAGGCAAACCAGTCGCTTTTCATACACACTACTGTTTAAATGTAATGAAAGCAGTCGTGATATAACAAGGCACACTCACTGAGCACATTTGAATGTGGCTCCAGGAGCAAATTCTTAGCCACATTGATTAGAGCCCAGGCACTCTGTAGTCAAGGGGATTTTATCGGAGACAAGCATGATAGGATGTATAATGTTGCTGGTTGCATGGGAGCAAGATTTTTGTTTTTGTTTCTGTTTTGTTTTATAGTTTCAAGTGATTTCAAGGAATCACTGATGACACTGTGGATTCCACAAGAAGCTGGAGTCTTGAAGGTCTGAAAAGGATGTCTTTAGCAATGACGGCAGCCTGGCATGCTGAAGGACCGCAAATATGGGAAAAAGAAAAGTCTGAACCCTGAGTGCTGCTTCCAGCCTAATCCTGACTCTATACTGTGGAAGAAGAGGACAAAGAGACAGATGTTCTTCTATGAGTGATTTTCCCCTCTGGATAAGATACATTCATTTTCATGATGTATTAGATGCATTTATTTAAAGATTCCAGAGAGGAGTGACCCTTATTTCTGGGCAAGCCTGTCTACTACTAAGTTCTTACTGCTGCTACATGAGATATGATCAAAAGCTTCTTTTTGGTAATGGTTCTAATATGTAGATGCAGGACAAGCTTAAGAGTGTGGCTTTATGACCTCAAAACCACACTTGCTGCTTGATTACTGGTATGGCTTGGGCATGGTTGGAATGCATCCCCAAGGCTCATGGCTGTAAACTTAAAGGCAGTTATGGAACCTAGAGGAAGAAATCTTGGGGTTCCGATTGAATCCTTGTGGGTTCATAAGAAGCATCAGTCAGGGGATGTAGTTCAGTGGTAGAGTGTTTGGCTAGAACGTATAAAGCCCTAGGTTCAATATCCAGCTCTCAGAGAAAAAAAGGAGGGAGAGAGAGAGAGAGAGAGAGAGAGAGATGGAGAGAGAGAGAGAGAAAGAGAGAGAGAGAGAGAGAGAGAGAGAGAGAGAGAGAGAGAGAGAGAAGAGGGGTGGGAAGGAGAGGCTAAAATAAGACTTACTGTTAATACGAACTCTTGAGCCAGACTGTTCAAATTAAAATCCTGGCTCCACAATTTATAACCATCATTACTGTGTAATCTTGGGCAAGATGCACAATTATCTATGTCTTTTTCCAGTGTGCAAATGTGGGTAATAATAGTATCTGTCATAGATATCATTGTGAAGACTGAAAGAGCAGAGATGTGTAAAGCGTCTGGAAGACTCGCTGGCCCATTTTTACAATCCATAGCAGGATGCCAGTAGATGTTAGGGACACTGACAATTTCTATGGCATTGTATATAGGAATAATAGAATGCTGAAGAAAGTCGGGAAGAAAAGGCACAGCACATTCAGAAGAACATGAATAGTGGATGGAGGGCGCTCTGCAAGAGGTTGACAGCTTTCTTTTTTTATGTTGTCTTTGGACAATGTCTCCATGTATATAACATACTCTGGTCCCTCCCTCAATTCTCTCTTCTCTCCCTCCCTTTAGATAAGTGTGCCCCTCCATCCCTACCAGTTCCTCTCTGAGACTTCTGCCCTTTGCTTTTGTTTTGTGACCCATTTAATTTAAGCGGGGCCATTGGTGCGAGCATTGGATTGAAGCAACCCGTTGAGGTGGTGACAAGAGGAACTAGTAGGCACACATTTGAAGACAGCCATTCCTTCTTCTCAAATCAACAAACAGTTCAATAGGAAGGGGTGGGGTCCCCTCAGCCTTTCCTCATATAACATTTCTTGTTATTATTACTCAGATGTATTTATATAATCTTGATGAAAATCCAATTAGTTTAAAAAGGGTTTAGTTCTTGAAAGGGTATCTTTGCTTTGAGATAGGGGACACTGCTTTGAACACCCACAAGTAAACCCTCTTTCTGCAGGAAAAACCTAGTTTGATTAGAGAAAGTCAAGTCCCAACCAAGTGAACTGTTAATTTAATATGAGACATTTAATATGATAATAACTCAGTCTTCCCTGAATCCTTCAATTGCTCAATCTTCAATTGCCAGAATTCAACAGAACAAAAAAATGGGTAATTCTGGCACAAATCATTCGGATAATTGTTGTGCCTTGATTTCACTCTTGGATATGAAATCACATTCTGAGTGACCAAAATTAAAAAGGAGGAGAGCCTTATATTTAAATAACTGGTTTTCAAGTGTTCCAGCATGCTGAATCATCTAGGCACACACTGTATTTCCACAGCACGTGGCGCTCCCACAGCGACTTATGGGATCAGTGTGCCATGGCCTGCAGCCTGCCACACATCCCCCCCACCCCCTACTAACCAAAAGAAGAGCTTGCTTAAGTGTGCTCTCTCTTCCAGCTTTACTTGTAGCCAATCTGTACAATTTATTTACTAAAAGGGGGAATTGTGGTTCAAAATCAAATATATACTTTAATACTCAAATAGAAGCTTACTGCAGAAGACTGAATTCAAATGTATCCACAGAGCATAATAACACCCCTCTCCCGGTAGGATAGTACAGACAAGATTTTGTCCTGCTTTTCCCTCCCCCCCCTGTTCTTCTTCCTTTTCATCTGTTAGGCTCTTTTTCTTTCCAAATATTTAGGAAGCCTCTTCCATATGCCAGACACCATTCCAAACACTGGGAATACAAGGGTCTCAAGAAGGACTGCTCTCACGGAGCTCTGGTATGAATTTATTCCTATTCTCCTGGGAGCGTCTTCACTATGACCTGTCTGAGTTTCAGAGGCCAGGCCTTACTTTGGGGAAAACATGTCTTTTGTGTATGGGAGTGCACATATGGGTACATATTTATGTAAGTACAGCTGTGTGCACGTGGGTATGCATGCACATGTGTATACATGTGTCTGGCGGCCAGAGGACACCCTCAAGTGTTGTTCCTCAAGAGGTGTCTAACTTCTTTCCTGGGCTTTGGATTTCTTGTTTGTACGGGGCTCACTGGTTTTGGTTGGTTGGCTATGTAACAGGCTGAGTCTGCCAATCTGTTGACTCAGCACTGGGAATACAAGTCCACACCGCTCTGACTGACATTGTTATGTGTGTTCTAGGCTCAAGTCTTCATGTCTACACAGAAAGTACTTAACCGACTGAGCTGTTTTCTCAGTTCCCCCAAATTCGTGTGTTATTGATAAAAAATGCTGAAAAGAAAGGTGTGGCTTTGTCAGCTAGGAGTAGTGGCATATGCCTATAATCCCAGAATTTAGGAGTCAAGGGAGGTGGACCTCTGAGGTCTAGGCCAGCCTGGTCTACAAAGCAAATCCCAGGGCAACCATGGTTACACAGAGAAGCCTTATCCTGAAAAAATTCCTACTACTGGCTTGCCTTGTCCATCCTTGACATGAGTGTTTGTGCCTAGTAGTCTTTCCCCATGTTTGGATGTTCAGTGGATGTTACTGGGAGAACTGATCTTTTCTGAGTGGAAACAGAGATGTGGATCTGGGGGAGAGGGGTGGTGGGGAAGGAACAAGGAGGAATGAATGGAGGGGAAACTGTGGTTGGTTGGGATGTAACGTGTGAGAGAAGATGAGGTCCAGACAAGGTTTGTATTTGTGATTATTTCAATCAACCTATACACCTCTACACGTCAGTCTTCAGAGAGATTGTGGGGAGTCCCTGCTCTCACAATATCCTAAGATGTCCTTAGTAATGGCAGAGTAATAGTACGGCTATAGAACTGGGAGAAGTGTTTTTCTCTGAACTTAATTCACAACTCGACCTTCAGGAGTGGGAAAAACAGTGAAGATAAAGAAATGAGCTTTTGTCTTAGGATTTTTGTCTCTCTGGTGATAGTCAGATAGTCAGGATAAGCAAGCTAAAGAACGCATCCTGGTGGGGTGGTTTGGTTTCCAGGGAAGATTTCTCCTTTCTCCTCTATGAGCAACAGCAGACAAGTGATGCTGTGGACATCAGCCCCACCCCTGGGCCAAAAATATGATTCTCTTTGAAGTAGCATTGGGAACCTTGAAATCTATACAAAATACTTGACATTAGCTCTTGGCTCTGGATATATAATTCTTAAGTGGCTAATTCATGGGTAATAAAAAGCATTCTAAGCATTTTGATGGCTTCATGTGGTTTTCAAGGAGTCCTCTAATGCTGGTGCTAGGATAGGGGTATGACTCCTTCAAGAACAGTGTCACGTGGTCAGAGAGGGTATTATTGGAGGTAGCCAAGGTGGAAACAAGCCACCATAGGCAGACCTAAGACTTCATTAGCATTTTAAGACCAGGGATTGCAAATATTCCCCCAAAGCTGCAAAAACTCTAAGTCAACTTATCTTCTGTAAGAAAAACAGAAAAGATAAATTTGCTCTCTGTAAACCAAGTCATCTTCCACAGCGGACATACTGAAGAGGCTGTTCAAAGCGATGAAGCTGAAGCTCACTTTAGAGGCCATTGAAATTCATTCTCTTTGCTAATCACACTCTGATCAATTTAGAAAGATAAATAGCCATCAGAAGCTGAAAAAAAGAGCTGAAAGACAGTCTTTAAAATTCTGTATTTATTGTTCTTACTTTTCTCCTCCTCCTCCTTCTTCTCCTTTCTCTCTCTTTCACCTTCCTCTCTCTTATTTTTTAAAAAAAAAATTTTAAGACCAGATTTTTCTGTGCAGCCCTGGCTATCCTGGAACTTTCTCTGTAGACTAGGTTGGCCTCAAACTCAGAGATCCACCTGTTTCTGCCTCCCAAGTGCTGGAATTAAATGTGTGTGCCATCACTATCTGACTTCCTACTTTCCTTTTAGCTAGAAGAACTAAAAATAAAATTCTTAGAAACTAAAGTAGACTTTGATTCCAGGGTTCTGGAGCTACCGTTTCATCTCTGCTAACAAGAGGGTCAGTAGCAGGGAGCTGTCAACATCTCCACCCCAAGTTGAGGCAGCCCTCTACTATTTCAAGAAGTCATTTGATCTTCCAGCAAGTTCTTAGGTCAAGATTTGACTGATACATGAACCCTTGCACTCAGGTAATACTGCAGGCACCAGAGTTAATTATGTATTACTCATTTAAACATTTCTTCATTCTAGCCTCAATTTCTTTGAGGAATCTTTCTTTTAAGTAGAGAGGCATTCTTGGTTCATCTGTGGAGCGGACCAGGCTTGTGCTAAATGCGGGCATGAGATGCAGAGAGAATAGGAAGAACTTAGTCTCTCCAGGGTGAGAAACAAACATCCAACAAACAAACTCAACTCCTTTGTAATGGAAACCCATGCCAAACTAAGAGCATGGTAAAGTGTCCATGAGGGTATAGGGCAGTGAGAGGAAGAGGTCTGAGGGCTGACTATACATGTTGTTTGACTTTTCTAAGTTTTTAGCATTGAATTCAAGCCTTGTCACTACACAAGGCCAGTAAATCTGCTAGCTTAATGACCGAGCCCTTAGAAGGACAGTTTCTTAAGTGCTGTAGGAAAGTGTTCTACTTCTCTCAGACATCCAAGTGGCTCTGTAACCTCATTTTGTGCACTGAAGTTTCATAATCTTATTACACTAAAATGCCCAGCTTTGTTCTTTTCCTTGTAAAAAGACTATTTCTGGCGGGAAAGTCCGTCGTGACACTAATTATCTTGTTCCCAGTTGCTGCAGGAGCCTGGAAGCCACGAGAGGCATTTCCATTTCTGCTCCCAGGGAGTTTGCCAAGTCTTTGTGCTTTCCTTGTCTTAGCTACAAAAGCAGAATTTTCCAGGCACCAAGAAGACCCATGCAGCCCAAGACAGGCACAGGGAAGGGTGTAAGAATAGGGACCAAGGCCAAGAAGAACAAAAGGGGGAAAACATCGATGTTTGGAAGGACGTAGAACTTTCCCCTGCCACTTTCTCATCTCTAACACTGGCCCAGGAGCCTCTGTCACGGGATGGCAGGAAGCAGTCCTGACTCTCATGTAGACTACCTGCTGGTAGCCAGCTGGTCACTAGTGACTATTAAGAGTCTAAGACTGTTCCTTTAATGTACCGAATTAACGAGACCCCTGATGACATACCCTAACATGACTAATGTCTGTTTTCCATTCAGACTGGGAAGCCAACTAAATTTGACCTAGAGAGGGGCAAGGAAAAAAAAAGAAAGAAAGAAAAGGAAGATCTTCTGGAAATTCAGTATTTTGAACTAAAATCTATATGTATAGTAAACACATTCTTTGAAGGATTTTGGAGGAATGCTGAATACCATGCAATGGTTTTCAAATTATTGAAATGTTTTAGACCCAACAGTTTGCTTTTAAAATGGGTTTTGATGTTAAACGCTTCTCAAATAATCCAGTCCAAAGGCACTGACCACATTAACTCAGGCACCTTTCCTGCCACTTCACCCCCTTCCCACCAGGTCTGGAAACACATGCTGCGCCTCAGAAAGAGGAGTCCCAGTCACTGGCTACAGGCTCCTCTCTCTTGTATGTATATACTCTATGCATCTGGGCTTGTGAACGTTTTGTTGGAGGAAGACCCTTCCTTTATCAGTGGACTTTCATCCTAATGGCGTCTGGACTGGAAGCCGTTCACCGTGCTAAATGAGAGAGCTTCTGCAGAAGCAGAGACATGCTTCTTCTCCCAAGAACAGCAGTCCTGACAAAAGGCACCTCCAGTCTGTAAGCGGCGCTGAAGCAAAGCCCCAGCTCACACTCGAAGTTCTGATATCTGTTGGACAACTGGCCTCTTCTACCCATGACTGAACCTAATTCTATACTTACTTGGCACCTTGCTCCCTTAAAATGCAAACCGAAGGGCTAAAGTCAACTAGAAACAGGGTGAGTTTATGTACAGAGTAGATTCTCCTGACTGATGCTGGGATAAAGCCCTTGCAATGACTACCGGTCATCTTCCCAGGATCTAGTTGCCACCTGAACCCTTATCTCTTTGGGGGGCGGGGAAGACTTGCAAGTTTCTTCTCCCTTGGTGTTATCCCCTGCTGAAAAGGGTTGCTGATGCATCATTTCAGAGCGCATGCAAATCCAAGCAAAGGCATGGCCGTGCCTCACGGTGCACCCCACATACCATGCATAGCCACGCAGATGTTCTTCAACCAGCACGTTAGAGGGAAGGTGGATACAGCTGCTGTACACCTCCTAGAGAAGCGCAAGTAAGAATTATCCGAAGACATGCAACAAGCTCATCCCATGCACGGGTCCCGGTTAATGCAAGGCATGCAGGGCACATTCGAGGGAAGGTTCGTGGGAAACTGCAGAGGTGGCTTTAGTGTTATTGCCGATCCTGAGATCCCCTTAAGTTATTGGGGGAGAAAAGTTAGGCTTTAATTTTTTTAATGCAAGAAGTCTGCTGTCTTAGCTGGTGTGTGCCCTTTCTAGATGTAACCAATACATGGTGAAGTCTTTCATAGCAAGGGAGTTGGTAGATAATTTAAAAGTCAGCGAGGAGGCCGTTGGAAAGAAATTAACTGAAACTGGATTTGGTATCACAGCAAGAAACACAGACAGTTCTTAAGACCATGCTGTAATAGGAATTTAACAACCCAACGAGGAAAACCGATAAGCTTCGGACACTACTGGGCGGCTTAGTAACTGCAATAGGGAAAAGATCCGAGGCATTCCTTGCACAGGGAGCTATGCGTTTTGGCTGCTATACTGTTTTTGGTGGCATGACAAGTACAGAGCGTGCAGAATTCGTTGCCTAAAAAGATGTTTCTATCTCTTCTTCATGGGATGTGAGTTACAGATGGGTTTCCAAGAAATGCTGCTATAAATGACTTCAACAGTGCCTTCTGCCATCTCCTGTATACTGGCAAGTACTTCAGCCTCTCCAGTATCTAAACAACATGGAGAGATATGTGTAGTATCATGCCAGGTGGCAGTCCCTGGGGGAGGGTCATTCATTTCAAAGGTCACTTGAGGTAAGTAGTTTAGATATGGGCTTTCTGTTTATTTGCCTTTAAGCTGGGCTCGAGAATACCAGGTCCACGAGAACAAACTCTTCCCGAGGCAGAATCAGAGCCAACAAAGGACTGATTTTATGCTGATGGGTAGTTTTATCTTGTATGAATGCCTCCCGGTTTACAATTCCTAATGCCCAGAGCACAAGAAAAAGGGATCAGAACGAACCCGTGATTTCTTTTTACCCACTTCTCTCAGCATTCTCCAAAGGAACGTGCAAGGGTATATATTTTAACCTGGCACATTTCATTAAAAAATATATGGATTTCTGAGTTTTGGGGTGTCCCTTTCAAGATGGCACAAGTCGGTAACTTGGGCTTTAACAATAACACAATCAATGAACAGTCATACAAGCACAGTCTGCAAATAGCACTCACGGGCTTATTCCTTCCTTTGCTAGCAGGGCTCACTGGGTTTCCCTTGGCATCTGCCGTCTTCCTTCCAAGTGATGTTAAGGGCAGTGTGCAGGTCTTCAGCTGGCTGGCTGGCTGGTAGTTGTTATTGTTGTTTTGATTACCACTTAAAGTCTCCATGATGGATCGGAAGGTTCCAAAAGGTCTTTTCATTTGTTCCCCTGGCTCACTAGTCCTCTGGGGGGCCCTGCCCCTATCTCTGTCCTTTTCTCCATTTAGTTCAAGGTTAGTTTGCTCCATCTGCACCACAGGCTCCTCAAAGGTGACTCTGAGTTTTGAGTTTTGGGATGTCCGGCGCTTGGATGATGGAGACTTGAGGGCACTCTTGGGGCTTGTGGCAACTTTCTGGGCAGTGGAACTGTCAGGACTGGACTGAGTGAGGTCTGCAGAAGGCTGGGTGGGAGGAGTCAGCCCCAAGCCTGGACAATGGGAGTCCAAGTCTGGTTCACTGCTCTCTGAAGTGGGAGATGGGCTGTGCCCGTCCAGGGATTTAGAGGCCTTTGTACTGAAAGGAAACCTGCGTCCGGATGGCAGGGAGTGTTTCTTTATCATCAGGTGTAAGCTTTCTGCGCTGTCCATAGTCTCCACACTTTCCACAATGGGCTGTGGCCTGGGCCTGTCTGCTTTTCTCACAGGAGTATTTTTGGGGTCTTCAGAGTTGTTTGAGTCTGTATCAGACTCACTCAATGACCTCTGCATCAGCTGCCTCAGCCTGGCTAGCTTCAATTCTCTCTTCTCCAGGGGAATTTTTTTCAAATTCCTGGAAGATGCTTGAGCATCCTGGAATTCCAATGACAGCTTTTCCTGGGTGCAGACATTCTCTGAGATTTCTTTTCCCAATAACTGACGTAGGATTTTATCGGAGTCTTCATCTTTTCCTTTGGTCCTAGCCCTGCTGGATGCTGATAAGCTTCCGAGAACTTGTATTCCCTCCTGGGCTCCTGTTTTGCTCTTGCCTGTAGCCTCATCATCTGCATCTAAGATTCTCCACTGGGACTTTCTAGAAGCTGGTGAGGAGGGTGAGCTGAAAGGAAGATGAAGGAGATGTGAGATGATTTCCTACTGCACTGAAGGCAGCCATAACTCCTTGCACGACCTTTACTATGATTAGCAGTTTATGGCAAACAAGATGGAAGTTACTTAATGGTTTTTTCAGAACAATTAGCAAAGACTCCATTCTAGCAGCTGTAGCTAGAGCATGACACATCCCAAACTTCACGGCAACACAATTTGTTTGTTTTATTGTTTACCCACCACTGTGTATGAATTTTCTCACTTTCTGTTTGCAACAATCTAATAAAGCTATATGTCTTTATTCTCATTTCACAGGTAAGGCAACGAAAGAGAATGTAACTTGTTTGTAGTCATGGCCCAAAGAAATAAAAAGGCTGGAGATTACCTCTGGTCCTGGAACTTAGACACAGACTTTTCATTGTGAGAACTTTTAATTTGTTTTTATAAGAGTAAAATGTTCCCTGCTGTCATTTTTTTGAAAAAAAAAAACATTAAATGGAATACTAGAGGAAGGATTTAAAGATTTCAAATACCCAACAATTCATTGACTGGTATTACCTGGGTGAAGAAGGGAGTGATTTGCCCTCTGATTTTTGGGCTTCTAGAAGTTGTTGGAGTTGGCTCTGCAGTGTGACACGCTCCACTGTCTGTCTGCAGGAAACAACCAAAGAACACAATGTCTGAAGCATGGCTACTGCCAAAACTAGAGGGAGAAGAATCTTCATGAAAAGGCAGTAAATGACAATCTATTCAAAGGCCTTAAAAAGTGTTTAGTCTCCATTCTTATGACTCAAAGAGTTTTTCAAGGAAGCAATCAGAAGTGTTGAAAAGGACATATTAATGACAAGCTATGAAGAAACTAATAACTCATGAGTAAAAGTGAAGGAATTTCAATCATTTCTACAATGGCAATATTACTTGAATACTGAATACCTATGAGCATACAAAAAAACTTGTCCCATGTTAAGTCACTAATTCTGTGATAATTTGTTATAAACAACAGAAAACTTACATGATTAGTTTTCAGGTCTCCATGATGACCTGCACACACTTGGTGCACAGATATACACTCAGGCCCACATTCAGACACATAATATAAGAGTAAAAATCAATCTTAAACAACAATAATAAAAACAAAACCAGGAAGTTGTCCAAAGCAAGACCTAGCAAACTCTACAAAAGCATCAAAATAGTAACAGCTCTCTTGAGCATGGCGTAGAACTAAATGAAGGGTTTGTAAGTGTTCTTACAATGACTATCTTTTCTTAGTATAGACTAGAGGAAGCCTGGCATTCTTGCAGGATCATGCTGCATATACTTTTTTTTTTTTGTCTAAATGTACTTCTGTGGAGTCAGATTCTGATAACATCTTCCACAAGTCCCAAGCATCTTTGTTTTTCTCACAGGCAGTCAACATTTTTCTAATAATTCATCTCCCCAAACAAGCCAAGTCTGTGACCTTATTTCATCTCACCCACTCTGTCAAACTCACTGAATCAAACTTAGACATGGGGCTGAACAGATGGCTCAGAGGCTAGGAGCATTTGATGCTTTTGTAGAGGACCTGGGTTTGATTCCCAGCACCCACACTGGGTCACTCAGAACAAATTGTAACTCCAGTTAGGGGTTCCAATGCCTTTTCAGGTCTCCATGATGACCTGCACACACTTGGTGCACAGATATACACTCAGGCCCACATTCAGACACATAATATAAGAGTAAAAATCAATCTTAAACAACAATAATAAAAACAAAACCAGGAAGTTGTCCAAAGCAAGACCTAGCAAACTCTTAATGGACCATAGAGCCCATATCTTAGACTTGGGAGTCACTAAGCTTTAGGAACAACCATTCAGCTCTGTCCTTTTAGCATGACTTTAACCTTGCCTAACACAAAGGTGAATATGTGTGGCCGTGTGACAACCATACTACTTACAAAAATTGGTGGTGAGCAGGCTATGCCCAGTCTACTATTTGCTGACACCGGCTTAATATAGGACTAAATATACTCCACTTTGCTAGTTGGATGCATACTAAGTTTGTGTGTGTGCATGTGTGTGTGTGTGTGTGTGTGTGTGTGTGGTATTTTAAGAGACAGAAGTAGGGGCTGGAGTGATGGCTCAGCAGTAAGAGCATTAACTGTTCTTCCAGAGGACCTGGGTTTGAATCATAGCACCCACATAGTGGCTCATAACCACATATAACTCCAGTTCCAGGTGATCTAATGGCCTCTTCTTCAGGCACCAGGCATGGAGACAGTGCACAGAATAAACACTCATACACAGAAAACAAGCAAAACAATGAATTATAAAAACAAACAGGAAGACAGACATTATTAAGAAAGATAAAGCACTCTGAAAACATGAATGATCGAGTGGGCTAGGGAAAGGTGCACACTCAAAAGTTGGTAGAAGAAGATTATACAGTCACCTTTCAAAAGATTTATTACATATTTCTTAGGAATTGTGACAGAATTTTAAAAAATACCATGTGACATCAGTTATGTTGACTGTCAGTTACAATCAAAAGAACAATGGAGGACATTCTAATTCCCTAGATTTGAAAGAAGCTTCTAGAAAGGCTCAATCATCCATAATTACAGAGAGAAAGCTGTATTTGCATACTATGTCAGTGTGCCGGATTGCTATAAAAGTGTATCACAAGTTTGGGGGCTTAAGCAACAGGAAATGCTAAAAAGATTTTTTGTTTTGTTTTATGTGTCGGTGTGAGTAGTTACATGTATGTAAGTATACCACACGTGTGCCTTGTGCCCTCAGAGGTCACAAGAGGGTGTCAGATCATTGAACCACATGATGGAGATGCTGGGAATGATCTGCAGAAGCATCATGGGCTTTTAAGTACCAAAGCATCCCTCCAGCCTCAGACAACATTAATTTATCAGCTCAAAGTTTGGGAGGCCTAAGTAGTCTGAGATGACATTGTCAGCCATGTTGGTTCCTTCTGGGAGCCACGATGGTATCCATCATGTACCCTGTGCCTGTCTCCTAGGGTCTAGTTTTTATTGGTGAACTCTGGTTTCATGGTTTGTAGATATTTCCTCATGGACACTGTCTTCATGTTCACATGGCACACCCTCTGGATATATGCCCATGATTTATAGAGATGCTAGTCACCAGGTTAAGACTCACCAGCTTAACCCCACTTGAACTGGCTATCTTCTCCGAATATCTGATTTCCAATTAAGGCTACACTAAAACATTAAGGTTTTGGACCTTCCTGGTGAGGCAGAATTCCATTCCAAATGCTAGGTTTACTAACAGGGACTTTAGTAGGGTTGAAGTTTGCTATTTCTAGACATTAGTAATGGCTTTAAAGGAGTTGGGAACAGTATTATAATAAGGAGAAGGACTTAAGGCTTCTTAAGTCCCCAAAGCTCACACTGGGTAAAACTCAGGAGTTTTCAAGCTCTGGAAATGCTTTCCCTCCCTTGCCCTGTTACCCATGTCCTACAGCATAAAGGCCACAGAGCTCCGGGACTGCCTCATGGGATTTCTTTACACACTTCTGGGTTTGCTCAACGTCATAAAAGTACATACTACACGAAAGGTCGGTGCCCAATGAGCACCTCACACATTTTGTCTCTTTTCTGACTAACAACGCTTGTCCACAGCATTTGGATTTCAGGGTAACTATATGGCTGCTATCTGTCAGTGTATAGGGCTTGCTTATCCCAGGATAACTAATGGAGAGAGTGGTCTGGACCTTGAACTTGCAAAAGTCACCAATATAACAGCAAAACAACTATGCAGCTCATAAAAAATTTTCAGAGTCTGAGACATAAAAGTTGAGATTTAAAAAAAAATCTTATTTTCTGGGTGTGGAATTTTAGGGAAAGTATTCTATGGGATAGTTTTAAAGCTTCTCTTTAGGAGTATGTCTATTTATCACTGAAGGGAGTGGATGGTGCTTTGGCATTTTTGGAAAGGCATTGAGTACCAATCCCCTTACATCCCCAAGATTTTAGGGTTGAATCCAGGGCCTCTGCATGCCAGGCAAGTGCTCTACCACTGAGTTATTGTCCCAGCCTCTCTAATTTTAAAATACATGCCTTTTATTCTGACACTCCCTTATTCAGAAAGCTATGTAAATGCATAAAGACTTATGAAAGAGTCTGCTCACTGTGGAAAAATAACTCAGTGAGTTATTAGGTTATTAACTAATATATACTCTTCCTCCAGCTACAGCAAGATCTTGAAGTCTGCCCAGGCTCACCTGTCACGGAGAAGTTTTGTTTAACCGACAGAGCATTCTTGAAGGAAATCTTTTATACTTTAGGTTTTAAACTCAGATTACTTTAGATTCTACCAATATGAGGGGCACAAGAAGCTTGCATGTCTGAGGCAAGAGGGCACGTAGAGAGACAAGGGGTTGCCGGAGCTTAGGGAAGGCACAGAGAGTCCAAGGTCACATCATAGTGTTACCTGATGCATATCTGCAACCAGTTAAGGTCTCTTGCCCATACTGGCCCTTTTCTCATCCAAGAAAGCTGTAAATAGGAGATGTTTATTTTCTCACTAAATGCTGGTAGAGGGCCGGAGAGATGACTCAGTGGTTATAAGCATTGGCTGCTCTTCCAGAGGACCCTGGTTTGATTTCTAGCACCCATAAGGTAGCTCACAACTGTCTACAACTGCAGTTCCAGGAGATCTGATGACACCATATTCTGACCTCTGTGGGCAACAGGCACACACATAGTGCGCAGACAAATATGCAGGCAAAATCTTCAGGCACATAACATAAAAATATTTTTTAAAAACTAGAGTAGATTCATCACCCACTATACTATATTGTACTGTATTATATTATAAATATATGTATTATAAATATCCTTGTTAAATGTATATAAATATGCACATATATTTTAAAAATAAGATTTTACGTTTTATTCTAAAATTTAGTTTAATGCTTAAAGGATTTTGTCCTTTTAATCTGTTAAGATTTTTGGACTTTTGATTCCAATTACCAAGAAAACTCCCTCAACCTGGCAGCTGTTGTGTGATCTGTGAGATTTCTAAGGGCTGAGGTTGGTCCCTCCCTAACTCCTTAATTCCTCCTAGACTCCCACCTGATGTCTTCATATTCCATCCCATTGTCTTCAACTATTTATGTTGTGGTTATAGTCCACAAGTGCTTCTCTGACACCTGATAGGCAATAGGTACCAGTTTCATAATCAATCAGGCAAATGACTTAAAAAGTGACATTTATATTCTGAAACTGAATTAAAACCCTGCTTCATTTTTCCCAATAAATTTGCTGTGGATGGGTATCAAGACACTTATATCTGTAATTTCCCAAAGACACACTTCCCTTGTTGAGAACACCAAAGGGGGGGCATTTCTAGCCTTTCTTTCTCCCTCACTCCTCATGATGTCCTACACAAAGAATGAAAGGACAGAGAGGATGCTTGTGTATTACTCAAGCTCTGCTGCCACCTGTTCCTAAGGTGACAGCAATGGAGATGACACTCCCTCTCTGTGAAGACTGTGATTCCATGTTGGTGTGCTTGCTCTACACCTTGTGGCTTATTACCATTTTGCCTCTTTAGAGCTGCTATGTTAAGCATGTACACAGGTTGTGAGTCTCTAGGATGGTGGAAGAAAAGATGAGAATGCCCAGATTTCACTAATACCTGGAATGAAGGGAACTCTCCAAAGCCCTTGGCTCAGATCTAAGCACAAGAAATACAAGGTAGACTTCATTCTCTAGGAATCGAATGGCCACTTACTCCTTTAGCTGCTTGGTCAACTTTACCACTTGTGAGGCCAGTGACATGCAGGTCTCTACTACCACTAGGTACCGGGAGCACAGGGTGTGCCCATGCCGCTCAGCACTCTGGGAGGGCTTTTCCCCAGCGTGGTTCTGCATAGTGACATTTGCTCCATACTCCACCAGGGTCTGCCAGAAAATACAAAAACATATCATTGTATCAGGACTTGCTTTTTATTAAACAGATTGTGTGTGTGTGTGTGTGTGTGTGTGTGTGTGTGTGTGTGTGTGTAAGACTGTGTCTACCGAGGCCAGAAGAGGACATCACATTACCTAGAATTGGAGTTATGGATGGTTGTGTGTTGCTTGGTGTGGGTACTGGGAACCAAACTTGGGACCTCAGGAAGAACAGCAAGCGCTCTTAATGACTGAGCCATCTCTATAACCTTAAGACTCCTTCTGAACATTGTTTTTAAAAGACTGTAACAGAATGCTGGGTAGATTTTTTTTCTCATTATTCCAAAGCCAATTATCAGAGTCCATGGTATTGTGTGGAAAACACCAATTCAGAGAAAAGTATCTCTGGTCTACCTAGCTGATTCTAGAGGCTTTCCTTCACAACCAACAATGATGGGACCAAACTGGTATTACTATTTTCTTACACATGTAGCCTAAAAGGGAGGTCTACCAACCCCTCATCCCCTTTATGAGATGGGCAATGCAATGTTTGTAATATTTTGTCATTTTGATAGTTGGGGTTCAAAGAAAGCATTCTTAAAGTCAGAGGAGCTGTGGGATGTGGAGAGTGGCATTCTGTCCTCCTATTCTTATTCTCTTGGGTAACTGGCTTCAGAATAACACTTGATAAGCTCTTGCCAGGCCTCCCTAGTCGGGAATAAAATAATTGAAAAGAGATAGTATAGGGGCCTGGAGAAGCTATGAAGCAGTTCACTTGGGCCATGACAAAGATACCAATTGGGTAGACTTTGTAGCAGAGAGCTTGGTGTGACCTTCTCCCTTTCCCAAGGGAGAGGATTCTCTAGAGTAGTGGTGTGAACTTGTCTCTTTCCCGAGGGAAAAGGTTCTCTAAAGTCATGGGCAGCAGGTGCACCACAGATGGAAGGATGTGTATGAGGTTAAAGAGTCAAAGTTGGATCCAGATCTCTCACGTCAAGTACCAGTGCAAATACTCCAGGGGATGCTTCAAAGCCTCTACTCCTGGATGCCATAGAACACAAGAGTGAGTGGAGCCAGCTGAAGAGGTGTTGAAGCAATGACTTCCAAGGAGGCTGAGGCCTTTCTCAGCAGAGTAAGAGGACATTTGCATTTCTTTTCTAATACCTTCTATTTGTTTTTGAGAGTATAGCTGGAATGGGGTGGATAGGATTCCACAAGGTGGATTAAGGGGCAGACATGCCTCATTGTGAGTCCTTCATCTAGCCTCAGAGTGTGGAGAAGAATGGTAATGTTCAGTTTAAAACTGTTTTCGGGCAAAATTTAACAGGCAAAAGCGAGTGGAGAAGTTATGGCATGTGGCCAAAGTATCATGAATAGAGGAGAGGAAGACTTGACAGAGCATGGCTGAAGTCAGTGGCCTAAAAACCATGGAAATGGTTCCATTTCAATACTTCCATTTAATACTAATTTAATATTGTTAGAGTCTGTAAGGAAGCTGTCACATGAACAGTAAGAACTTGTTGCTCCCTGACATATTCTTTGATGGCAAGATGATGCTGATACTGAAAACCTCGGCTTATTTTGGTAGTAATGATTTTCCCCCCACAAACAGTGCTTGTGTTTAATATCATCGGCTGCTAGACTCAGAGGCCATTAAGGAACTTCATTTTCCTCTTAGTTTATGGCTGCTCACCATGAAAGGTCAGCTTTCCATAAAGCCGCTTCCTCCCTCTCTCAGGGTGTCACAGAGACCCTGTCAGCAGGAAGCTCCAAGAGACTCAGTCTAAACACACACTGTTATTCCTGCCCTTGACTCGGGTCCCGGCAGTTTGCCCTCCGCTCTCCTCCCCCAGTCCCTTTCTCAACCCAGAAGGCCCCTTACTTGCTCTACTCCCTCATTACTATTATTTTTTAATCTTCCACACAGTGGATAGACTCTGTCTGAGTTATCCAAGTTTCCACGGTGCCTAGTGCCAAAAACACCGTTGTGTGAAGTGGAGTGACGAATGCCCTGGGAGGCAGCCTACTTCTCCCCACATATTAAAAAGAAAATATCTAAAACTGTAAATAGAAGTAGTAACATCCCCTGGGTTTCTTCAGGCTTCAGTCACTGATTAGTTTATGAAATGTTTGCTTCAGGATTATTAAACATTGAAAAGACCCATCCTTTTTTTTTTTTTAATCTTCATCCAGTTGTCTTTCTTCCATAGAAAAACAACACCATTATTTTAATCATTTTGCGCGTATTGGTAAGAAATTTGGCTTTCTCTCCAGTCTACGCTTTCTTACTTATCACTTTTTTCCATGTTAGTGTGTTAAATTAGTTGATGCACCATTGCCAACCCTGATGGGACGGCGTCCAGATACTCTGGCTATTTCCTCTTCACTTAGCTCTCTAAGAGCTGATGTGTGAGCACAGGTCCTCTAGAGAACTTCCTGGTATTCTCTGCATTTTTGCTGTTATTATAGTCTTGACTTTTATATTCAGGGTTTTGGCATACATTCTTAAGTGACTTTCTGAGCAGCTGGCTCTCATTGCCCAGTGCTCTCTGTCTCGGATGCAGTCTTCTCTTCCCATAGAGACCCTTTACCGACTGAGGGCTCACCTTGTGACTTGGGTCCATGATCACAGTACTCCCTCTACCCCCTTCCGTGCCTCTGCTTAATAATCTTTAACTATCACATGCACAGAGAACATGAGATTTTTTTTGTAAGATATGTTGGGCTATAAGTGTGAGGCTGCTTTGAGGCTGTTGGGTGAAACCAAGGCCAATCAAGGCTGAGCCTGGTCTTCTCAATGCCCAAGGGGATCGCTGACCTAGCTTCTCTGACTCTGGGCCTTTTAAATACACTTGTGAAGCTTAGTCCTATCACAAAGAAAAGAAAGCACAGGGTTCTTACTGTCCAGTTTGTTACCCCTACTGTATAGTACAAAAGCTGATTTAGTACAGGCATTTTCCTAATGAACAAAATTCCTTCCTTCCCTGTATTGTTCCTTCTTGTCTTCCTTCCTTCCTCCCCTCTACTGCCCCTGTTTCGTTTCTCAAGAGACCCCTTTCTGACTGTGAGCAGCAAGCTGTGCACCTGTATGCATCCAAGGTAGCCGTGCTGGGAGGCGACGTGAACAGCACTGTTGCCTTCCTGGTCCACTTCGTCCAGTGAGATGCCTTGTTCTTGCATGAACTGAAGAAGCCACAGGAGAATCTTCTCCTAGACACACACAAGAACACTTGAGATTAGTGGAATATCATGCAGAGAAGCTGAATATAAAGAAACAGCAGTATAACTTATGAGCAGTGCATAACATCAAATATTACCTATCCTATCAAAAGGATGTTCCCATTCAGTAAGCACTAAGAGCTGTGGGTCTGACTGAAATGCAAAAGAGGATCCCAAAGAAGATTTCGAAGGTAGGAAGTTTCCTTGGAAGTGTTCTTGTTACTTAGGCTACAGAAGCAGGGGAGAATTTACAGAAAGTATCGGTCCACATAGTCACACAGCTAGACAGATTTGAAGTTGAAACCCGAATCCAGGTCTTTTGATGTCAAGTCTCTTAAGGCGACACTTTCTGTTCTGTTAAGCTGCCTGTAGCTTTCAAGCCGATTACCCTAAGACCTTACACTACCGACACAACTCGATTTACTTTTAAATTTATATTCTTCAACCATGCCCCGCTAATCCTGAACATCCTGCAGTCCACAGACTGAACATGAATCAGTGCCATAAGCTGTCAAATCCAAGATAACCTTGCTGAGATAAAGCAGGAACTTCTTGTTCTTGTCTCTGACCAAATGCTGGCGGTATTTTTTTTAAGTAATATCATTTTTTCCCCCTTCATGTTAAAGGAAAGGAACCAAAGGCAAAGAGACTAAGTCTTTCAGAAGCGAAGCCAGAGAGCGAGCAGTCAGGATGTTTCGTCGTAATCTGTTTGCAGTTTACCCAGTGAATGTTTTGTGGTATTTTCATGTCATGGTTTTTAAAGCAAGCAAGGAGATGGGATTTCACTGTTTTAAAATAGAAGAATTAAATATAAAGTAAAAAACACGAGAGTGGTAAAAACAACAGCATGAAGCTTAGTGGGCGGAATGTGACATTTAAAAAGATGATCATGTGCTTGGAATAGCCTTGAACTTCTTTCTTCTTAACCTCTTAAAGGATTTTCTCCCCTCTGGTTATTTGTTCCGACTGGTCATGAACTTTTTTTTTTTTTTTTGGATTAAATTTGCCCTCATCTTCTGAACATGCCAGTTAATTTGCTAAAGGAATTTTTGGATCCAAACAGCTAACTCCTAAATGTTTTTTTCTCTCTGCTGGTCAATAGGGCACTGTTTACAAAGGTAGCTAACATGTGGGAACAGACGGAATATTTGTGCTGTACTCTGTCCAAGTGGGCAAGCTGGAGTAAAACCCCTCAAAAGCAAAATGAGGAAAATGGGAACTGATTCCTACATCTGAGTAAGACAGTACCTGGGAGAGCGGGATGAATGCGAGCTGCGGATGGAGGCGGACCTTGTAGAGAGTCAAAGGGTCTTCAAGGGTCCCCAGAAAAAGGCACGAGGCTGAGCCTGGAGACTCAGGTTGAGAACTAGAAACTGGAGAAGGGCGTCCTGATAGACTTAACTCTCTTCTTCAAAGACCAACTTACAGGAAATTGGGGCTGATGTTGGGCTAGAATAGATAGTGTTTTCATGTGTTTGAGACCATAAAATGGCTACTCTACTTCTCCTAATTAACTAGCACACTTGAAAACAGGTTATTGTGTTATGCAACTTAGTTCTTTTAACATTTAAATGAGGGGACAAGAGAGATGGCTCAGGGTGACTACTGCTTTTGCAGACCCAAGTTCAGTTCCTAGCACCCACACCGAATGGTTCACAATGGCCTGTATTTCTACCATCAGGAGACCTGACACCCTTTTCTTGTTTCCCAGGGCATTTGAGTTCACATATACATATCCTCTCACACACATAACACAAAATAAATCTTTAAAAATTCTCAGTGGATTGGGACTTGGTAGGCACAGGCAGGTGGATCACAATGAGTTTAAGGTCAGTCTGGTCTACACAGCAAGTTCCACAACAGCCTGGCATTCATAGAAAGACCCTGTCTCCAAAATCAAAATAGAAATAAAAAAAACAAAAGCAACCAAAGGAAAAAAAAAAGCAAAGTCTCAATGAATAGTATCAGGATTAGAGATATTACCAACTGACATGAAGTCAATGGCTAAGACTTAAGAAAACCACAGGAGAGAAGACTGTGGTGTCTCTACAGATGAGAAAGACAGTCCCACCAAACTCAGAACAGAAACTCTTCAATAGGTCATTTTCAAGCTTAGGGGACTTGGTTTGTTCCATGATAACAAACCAAGGACTCTTAAAACTACATATTGGAAGACATTTGGGGGAAATTATCCCATTCAATCTTGTTTTATAAATCAGAAAACTCTAACTGTCTTAGTTAGAGTTTCTATTGCTGAGATGAAGCACCAGGACCAAAAAGCAAGTTGGGGAGGAAAGGATTAATTTGGCTTATACTTCCATATCATACATAGTTCATTACTGAGGGTAAGAACCCAGGACAGTAACTGATGCAGAGGCCATGGAGGAGTGCAGGCTTGCTCAGCCTGCTTTCTTATAGAACCCAAGACTACTAGCCCAGGGATGGCCCCACCCACAATGGACTGGGCCCTCCCCCATCAATCACTAATTAAGAAAATGCCCTATAGCTGGATCTAATAGAGGCACTTTCTCAATTGAGGTTCTCTCCTCTCAGATGACTTCAGCTTGTGTCAAGTTGACATAAAATTAGTCCAGGACAGTGAGGAATTGTTGTCTGATTTGTACCAGCTTCCTTTAGAAAGTAAAGTTCAAACTGTCTTGTCATGCAGATTTTCAGATTTTTCAGATCAACTGAATGTTCTAGAGGGAGCCTGTACAGACACAGGCTTTACTAAAATCATAGTGTTTTGGCTTTTAGTAATTGGATTGTCAGCAATAGAATATAACATATTAGCATTATCGTGGAAATGTGGAGAAAAATTGAGGGCTCTTGGCAATGGGCCAGGTGATGTGGGAGAGTAAGATATAGGAGTGCTCTGTGAGAAAAGAGAGCTGCCGTGGACCCTGAGTGCCCTGAGCCAGTGCGCAGATGTACCGCTACAATAATCTTTTCTTGTAGTGGCTGTCAGAGACCTTACCTAAGACTCATACAAGGCAGAAACAATTCTACTGACTTACCAGTGTTTTGCCTGGTGCCTCAAATTCCGTTATATACTTTCTGTAGTACAGTTCTTTTATATGAAACTAGATAAACCACCATGAGAACGGAACAAGAGTGCTGAGAAAAGGGGAGAGGCGGAAGACCAAAAGATCACTTGTGACCGGAGAGTGGAAAGGAGGATACTGGGGTAAGCTGGCTTAGGGGACAGATGGAGCGTGGGGGAGAAGAGGTGGGGGAAAGAAGTGTCAAAAATACATAATGAAACCTAATTGATTTAAGTTAATAAAATCTAAAATATATATACAATGTTAAGAAGATAAGGCAATTGGCCTTTTTACTCATATCTTGTAAAGAAAAATCTTTCCTGTCATACCATATGGATGGGTTCTACTCAAAGGGACTGCATGAGGGGTCTTCTGATGACATGCATTTAGGATTTCAAGACAGATGGCTAGTTTCCCTTGTTTTCACATAAGATCTTTAGCACTCATTATTAGAGAGATTGGGCTCTGCTTCTGGGGAACATAGGGATGCAAAGTCCTAGAATGAAATGGCGACTTATTCAACGAGCACACTAAAACATAAGCAGGATAGAATGGCCACTTATCCAGCTAGCAAGGCCCTTGTTGATGCCTACATGTGTTAGAGACATACTTAATGATGTCTTCCTCCCCTCCTAGTGCTTTAATGAATTCAGATTCTCTCTTCCTCTCGGCTGTGTGAGCGTGTGTGTGTGTGTGTGTGTGTGTGTGTGTGTGTGTGTGTGTGTGTATGTTCTTCCTCTCCATTGCAGGAGGAAGTTTTGAAGGAGGGATGCAATGTTAGACTTTCATGTTTGGTAAATATTGCTTTCAGAGGTTATCCTAAGCAGTCCTGTGAATAGAGAAGCTTGTCTCTGTTGTTTCTATCTTGAAAAATACTCTCCAATATAAAGTCCGTCCATCCATTCATCAGTCCACTCACACATCCCCTTATCTATGCAGCTTACATCTATGGACCAAGAACTTCTCTTATCTACATATTTCCCCTTCTGAGGATTCTTTGGCCTTTGGATAACCTGTCTTAGCATTGCAACTTAAGTGTTCCCCAAGGCAATGCAAGGTCCTTAAAGAGGCAATTAATACATGCAATTTATAACATGTGCTGAACAAAGCCTAATAAAAGTTTAATTGAAATAGATGTCACAGTTTTATTGATGGTATCAATAAAATCTCTACAGTTTGTGGTACAACTTGGAGTCACCTTTGTCTGCAACACTAGATCACCAAATCTAATACATCAGTTTAGAGATTCATCCCATTTATCAAGATGTCAAAATATTAGAAAAAAAAACAAAAGAAAGAAAAAAGAAAAACAGTCATCAAAAAGATGGGGTGGGGGGAAGATGCATGTAAGAATTAAGTATAACAAGGCCAAAATAACTTCTTAGTAAGTTTGGTTTATTCTTAAAGTAAAATAAGTAGACAAACTACACTGATAGCAATAAAATCAACAAAATGGAAGATTTGCCAAAGCAGCCAACATTTGTCTAGTGTATATTTTGGACTGGGTAGTATACTGGCCCCCATTAGATCTTCAGAACTCCCAAGAGGGAAGTTCTCTTGCCATATCATACAGCTGAGAACACAAAAGCACAAAACATGTCTCTTTTCTCTTTTCTTGTTTTGAATTCCTTTTTTTTCTACATGCATGCATGCAAAGCCATCAAGCTAGGATTCGGTAGGACTGAATCCCAGACACCTGGCACTAGGGCTCAGTTGTCTTTGGAACTCTCTTTTCCATCTTTAGGGCTGGAACACTGTGTAGGAAGCTGCTTGTTTGTTCCTGGCTGCTCAGCCTCGAAATAATCACATAGAATCCATGTTATTTGCAATACTGTTTGGCCAATAGCTTACGTGTATTTCTGGCTAACTATATCTTAAATTAACCCATCTCCACTAATCTGTGTCTCACCATGAGGCTGTGACTTACCAGGTAAAGTTTTGGTATCTGTCATGGCTTCTCCTTTTTAGTCTACCTTCTTTCTCTCAGCATTCAGTTTAGTTTTCCCTGCCTAGCTCTGTTCTACCCTATCAGGCCAAGCCAGTTTCTTTATTAACCAATGGGTATTCACAGAGGGGAATTCCACATCAGAAGGCTCTGATTTCTCCAACAGCTCTGATTCTAACAGGCATGGTCCTATTGAGAAACTCTGGCTGTCAGTCTGCAGGTTGTGGAGCTCTGGGTTAGTTATCTCTCCAAGATCAGTACTTGGCATTTAGATGGTGGTTTGTGCTGATCTAAGGTTTTTCTGCCAGCGGTGGTGGGAGTAAGCGCATCTGCAATCCCAGGTTGTGGGAGGCTAAAAGGGGAGGATCACAAGTTCTCTGTTAGCCTCTGCTGCATAGCAAGACTCTATCAGAGAACAAAAGTGTAACAGAACATAAACAAAACCTAGATTTTTCTACTTTCTGTTCATCTTCAACAAAAGTACTTTTAGACGGTTTACTTACTTCTGCCCCACAACATTGAAACAATAGTCAATGAAACAAAGTCCAGGGAAAGAATACTTCTGGTGAAAGTGACTCACAGAACAGCAACAGGGCGTGCAAAAGCACACCCCTCATCATCGTGCCTTCTGCTGCCAGTGACCACTTACGGGTAACTATGAGCTTTTGCTTGTATCAAAAAGGTCCTTAAAAGAATAACAGACTTTCTCAGGACCGAATGTAAAATGAAGACTAGATGCAGTCCAGCGTTATGAAGGCACGTCGTTTCGACAGTGTTTTGACTAAATGGCCCATGAAAGACTCAAAAACCAAAGAAATCACAAATTCAATGCTGCATATCACACAGCCCCCCCCCCCAACCAAGTATCAAGGCAGGATAGGGTGACACCTCCCATAGCAGCTGCAGGCAGACTATCTGCGGGGAGAACCTGGCTACCACCTGAACCTTCAAGTTGGCCTAAAATACCCAAGCCACACAGACAGTGGTTTAGAATAAACACCGTTCTGTCTCCATTGTTTCACCAACAGCTTTCCTATTGAGAGGCAGAGCAGGCCTATGCAAGAACCACCCCATACCCCAGGCCTGCTTCTCCAGTCCCCAAAAGGCTTTAGCCTTCCTGCTCCCTGTAGCTAGTTCTGCTAGGTATAGCCAGGCAGTAAAATAATTGTGCCCTCTGAGACTTCGAGTGTCAGCGTGAGGAAAGTCAATTCCTATCATCCAAAGATCTCTCACTCCAGGCGTCCACTAAACCCGCTGGCTACCCTGTGGCACTGCAGTCTTTAAAGGCAATTTTTTAATAAGAAAAAGGACACAAATTGGGAGTCAACTGGAGCCTGTTTTTTTTGTTTTGTTTTGTTTTGTTTTGTTTTTCTGGATCTATAGGAGGGTAGAGAGAAAGGAGAGGAAGCAGCGTACAATTTTCTTTGGTTGGTCTGATCCTTTCCAAAGGTATTTACTGAGGAAACAAAAATCAGAACACACTCTGTCTAGTGCCTGGCTGGCAGAGAAAGACTCGCATGTGCTGAATCCATTAGAAACTGCTCAATAGCAGTCTTCCTTGTGGAAATATTAGCCTTGTCACGGTTCCAAGTTCGGCTTCTCTGCAGGTTATCTGTTACATAAGTGGCTGTGGCGGACGGAGGATGACACTCGGAAGAACTGGCAGGTCAAATGGGCTTCTATATTTTCCATGGGGGTAGACTGTCCTCTGAAGGGTACGATTGGCCTCCCTCAAATCTGCATTTTATGTCATAAAAAATGCATCACATCTTAGAGCAACCTCAGGATGAATATCAGCGTGAAGCTAATGTTTGACAAGTCTCTTCATATGGGTCACTAGATTTTGTGTTTTCCTAGATTTCAGCTCACACAGCCTTCCCATGAGGGGGCACTTCCTTTTGTTCTATTCCAACAGCTTAAGGATTCTGAGAAATGTGCTCTGAGACCCGAATAATGAAAGTAGCAAGGAACTGACGTTTCCTTGAAGATGGCTGATGCCAGTCCTTTGTCCAGAGCCTCAGAACAGGTCTGGCTAACCCCTCTTCCCTCCCTAACTGGAGTCAGTGTCACAACCTTTCCACAAATACCCCAAAGGCCCAATTAGGCTTTGAGTGAGCAAATGAAATTAGAAATGTAAAGCCATCGATCGCATAGTTTAATAAATTTGCTCAATACCAAAAATAACTAATGGAGATTAGCAATGGTCAAATACTTGAGAAAAAATGTAAAACCTCTGTTTTAGGAAATTTGTAATAATTGTCATTGGTTTTCATGACAAAAGGTTAGACTGGGAAGCACAATGCAAAAAAAAAATAAAGACGTAATTCTAATATTTTAAAGATAGGGTCTTTTTCAGACTTTTATTGCTCCTCCTATCCCTCCCTTTAAATTCCATGCATTTATACAGTTTCTCACTTCAATGGTCTGCGCGAGATATTCCTGTACAAACCATCTGTACAGATGGGGACAAAACAACTCGGCCCCTGAAGACACTGGGCCTGAGTGGAAATCTAGCCCTCCCTCCCTCCCTCCCTCCCTCCCTCCCTCCCTCCCTCCCTCCCTCCCTCCCTTCCTCCCTTCTTCCCTCCCTCCCTCCTTTCCTTCCTTTTTTGGTTTTTCAAGACAGGGTTTCTCTGTGTAACAGTTCTGGTTGTCCTGGAACTTGCTTTGTAGACTCAGGCTGGCCTCATACTCACTGAGCTCCACCTGCCTCTGCCCCTCATGTGCTGGGATTAAAGGCATGCACCATCATTGCATGGCTCTAGTCTTCCCTTTCAATAGCATTAGACAATATATAAGCCATTCTTAACTTTTCTTCTTTGGGTTCTTCATCTATGGAATAAACAAGATCATATAGATAATTTACATAAACTCCAGTAGCATGGAGCTTGGCACACAAAGGAGACATGTGCATATGTGTGGTGTTTCATCTTTGTTGTTTATCTCAGTTTATATATGCATCATATCAACTGAAGTTGCTTTGGTACGGAATAAACTTTCAGCAAGTATATTACTACTAAAGACAAGCCAACCCAGGCATGATCATGCACACTTCTAACCCCAGCACTCAGGAGGCAGAGGCAGGAGGATCATTGAGTTTTGCCTATCGTGAGTTGCAGTACAGTCTAGACTGCATAGAAAGACCCTATCTCAAAAGCAAACAATAGCACAAAAAGGGAAGAATGACTATGGTAGTATTTTCTAGCCTTTAGAAAAATGTGTGGGCATGCTGAAGAAATAAGCACAATCTTTAATTGGCAATGCCACAATTTACTGCTCCTGGGAAAATCTACAGAGCCAAAGGCAGTGGTGGGGTTAGGGGGCTGGGGAGGTTGGTTAGATACATGAGAAGCAATTTCTTCTGCCACAAATTTGATTAAATCTATTCTTACACTATATTGACATCCTTATTTTTTTCAAGCTTGAGATTGACGTTTTTGTGACTTCAGCATTTTTAAAAGATAAATTATAGCCATCACCCTCAAAGGGAGGTAGATCTGTGTGCATCAGCTAATAATGTCAAGATTTTTCTAATGTAGAAATCAATTTCTTGAGTTTATTATCAGTAATGTGTGCATGTACTTGTGGGTCAGAGGACAATGTTCTGGAGTCAGCCTTCTCCTCCTGCCTATCCGTGGGCTCTAGGGACTGGACCGGGTCATCAGGCTTTTGCAGGGAATGCTCTCTTACCCGCGGAGCATCTCACGGGCCCCGATGGAGAACTTAGTTCTAAGGATGCTCTTGTTAATACACCTGCTCCTTTTTGTTCTGGCGAGGCATCCTTGGCTGATGCCTTAAAAAGACTTGGTGTTTGGATTTGTGCTCAATAAAGTACTACCATTTTTTCTTTTTGATAAATGTTAAAAATATTCATTGTCAAAGTAAAAAATTAACAAACAAATAACCTTTTAAAAAGCCAGCTATAGTTCCATTCTGTCCCCACATGACTGCAACTATGTTATGTGGTATTTTTTATAGTCTTAATTTCTTTCTGCACAAAATTTAAAGTTGGTACTAACTTACAATGAAAGCTTTATATATTAGATTTTATCAATGTTATGTAATTAATCCTTCCTCATATAATTCTACTATATGAATATAGCTTAACTCTTCATCTAAAATCTTGACTTGAGATATCTAGGTTGTTTAAAACATTCCTTCATTAAAATATTACAATAAATATCATTTTTCATAAAATCTTTAGATTTATGATGTCATGTTGGATTTTGGTGGACATGTAAGAGAAGATACTTAAGGACACCATACCTGCCCATAACAACCTGCATAATGAATAAGGCTTGGGAAGTCCTTGGAGCAACTCAATTCTGCAATGGCTTCTGTCTCGCTCACCATCCATCGCACACACTCCAACTGGCCATTCTAGAGTTTGAGGAGACAAAGAGAAAGAAATTCAAAATTACTAACGTTTAGCACATATCACCAAGATTGTAATTTTATCATGGGAAGACAGATGAATTTTGGCTTTTGTATTAGGCTTGTATTTACTTGAAACATAGATGTAAGACCTGCTACATTCATGCTTTGTGGTTTAGCTCTAAATCAGCGGGAGAATTTCTGCTTGCGTTTGTCTTTGTGATTCTAACCAGTTATTTTTAAATCATTCTGTTGAGCTTTGTGGTAGAGTACCCACCCAGTGTGCGCAAGTTTGATTTCTAGCACTGAAAACAAGTGAATGAATGGATGAAATTACTCTATTGAGATAAATTTACATTCTGTAAAGAGTAATTGTAGGTATAGTTTATTTTTGAATATATTCAATATATACAGCATATATATGTATATATATACACACACATATATATTACTCTAACTCCAATCAAATTAACAGCACTATCAACACTCTCAAAAGTTTCTAGCATCCCATGGCTTTCACCCTTCTTATTCTGCCTTGAGCAAAATAAGCTCAGACAAGATGAGCATGTTGCTCTTTGATTCTGGCTTGTTTTTACTTGGTACAATACTAAGACTTATGTAAACTACTACAAATATTTTTTAATTTTTGCAATTAAAATCTAATTGTATCTTTTTGAAAGTAAGTTCTTATTTATTTCTCTTGAATGGATACCTAGAATTAAAATTTCTTCTTTCTTTCTTCTCCCTCCCTTCCTTTCTTCCTCCCTCTCTCCCTCCTTCCTTCCCTCCCCCTCTCTTGTTTGGACAAGGTCTCTCTATTTAGTCCTGGCTGTCCTGGATCTCACTATGTAGACCAGGGTGGTCTCAAACTCACAGAGATTCTCCACCTCCCAAGTGCTGATATTAAAGGCGTGCACCACCATGCCAAGCTCTAGAATTTCTAAGATTGTGGTAAGTATATATTTAACCTTATGAAAAGCTGTCAAGCTGGTTTCCAAAGTGGAAAATTACTTTTACTACCACAAACAGCAGTAGAGCGTTCCAGTTGTTCTGTATCCAAGCTAACACATAATATTGTCAGCAATCAGTACCTATCACCTAAAATTTATTTTATTTAGAGATTTATTTATTTTATGTTATGAGTGTTTTGTCTGCACACATGTCTGTGAGCTACATGCATACCTGGTATTCCAGGAGGCCAGAAGAGGGCATCGGATCCTCTGGAACTAGAGTTACAGTTACAGACAGCCATGAGCTGTCATGTGGGTGCTAGAAGTCAAACCCTGGTTCTCTGGAAGAGCAGCAATGCTCTTACTCTCTGAGCCATTTCTCCAGCACTCTTCACTTACAGTTTATAAGATATGGCAATTATTTTCAAAATAAAACACTACCATATGTTTCAAGAAAAATTAACAAATTTCTATTCGAAATAACAATTTTCATTAAGTGACCAGGCTAAACATTTTAATTAGCAGAGCAATTAAAAGTTCAAAAGGTGACAATATTCTTATGAAAGAAGTTTGTTGTTATTTGTAATGATGCTACAAAAGTCTGAAAAAGATACAAGTTGTACATTTTTAGGAAACGACAAGGACAAGTTCTCCCTAGTTATGATGAAGGAGAGCGGTCAGTAGAAAGAGACAAATCACCTGAGGTGTTAGAAAGACTTTTGTTTTGTAAAGTCAAATCTGACGCTCATACTTTTGGGTTTAAAATTCTCTCTCATCTATAGTCACCACCGGGTTTTTACTCTCAGCACAGCGAGAGTTTCGGAACATAAACGAGGCGTGGAAATAGTTAAGATGCAGTCCGTGCTTACTGGGAAGGTCTCTTTACCCTTCACAGAAAATCGAAGTGGCGTATCCTGTGATTAACTTCCAGACAGACTCTGAGATGGACGTCCCGGCCCACCACTGAGCCACAGTCACTTAGCTCTAGGGCCTGAGCCATCTCACATGGACAACAGAGACGGCAGCATCGCAGTAGGGGTGAAATGAGACACAGCACGGGCTCCATGGCCACTCCACTCACTACATCTCTACTCTCCCGGATTTTCTTAGAGACTGTGAAGTGAGGCCATTCATTGTCGTTCTAGCTTGCATACTGTGGGTGTGAGCACAGAAAGGGTCTCCTGGAGTCAGGGAAGGGCAAATGAGCAGCATCTAACAGGATTAGTTTTTCTTTAGCATCTTAACCTGTCAAGATGAAAACATCTATTCCCAGAGGAAGACAGGAGAGGCAATCTCTTTTTTCATTTTCTATTAGACTAACAGGATTCCAAGTCAAGAATTCCCAGTTACACACACACACACACACACACACACACACGCACGCACACACTCAGACACCTCTCTCTCTCACACACACACAAACACACAAACAACACACACACTCATACACATTCCCACACATACTGAATCTCTCCCTCACACACACTGACTCAGTCTCTCACAGACACGTGCACACATTGAGTCTCTCACACACACTGTATTTACACAATGCACTCACATATGCACACTCTCTCACACACATATATGCACACACACACATACACACTCTCACACTCCCAAACACACATGCTATTCTGTCCTTGGAGATGTGCTGCGTGACTGTGCATGGTATAAAGGTCCCATAAAAAAAATCATCATTACAGTCAGTAACAAAACAGCTATGCTGCTGGTTTATCTATTTACTGTACTAGGCTGCTTCTCATTCTTTTAGCCTGCACTCCGGCCTATGACAAAGAGTTTACTGTAAAACAGGATGCTGTCTTACGCTGGCAGTACCCACATGCGTTTCATGTTTACCATCTCCTAACTGCATTAAAGGCCACAGTGCAGACATGTATCATGCATATGTAAATATTCTCTGTGGTGCTTGCACAAGGACAAAATCATGGAAAAATGCATCTCAGGATGCGCCTTCATCATTAAGCTTTTACTGGCATGGCAAGGCAACGTGGTCCTTGTTGCCCTGGGGCTGCTCCCTTTGGGGTGTCTGTCTGGCATCCTGGCTTCTGGCTGGGTTTGGGTAATGCACATTAGCCACAGGAGACCAGGAGAAGAGACAGAGTTTGAGGTCCCTTCTGTTCTTGGCTCTCGCGTTGTGGTGCTGCCATTGGCCCCACTCCTTCCACTAGTCACAGTTCAAAGTCAGCCATGCCTTTCAGCTCAGCCCTTTCTCTCAGGCTCTCATGACCTCCCTTTTTCCAGGCCCCAGGCTTCAGGAACTGTGCCCCGGCTGTTGCCCCATGAATCATTCTCTTCATTCTTTCTGAATGAAGAAGATGGAAGCCATCTTGATCATACAAGAAGCAAGACAGTGTATCTAAATTACTGTTTACACAGAAATGTGAAGCCACGCCTCTAGTTTTAGTAAATAGAGACCCCCTCACTACGTCTCTCGCCCTCTCTTTCTGGTTAGTCTAACTAAATTAAAGGGTTTTTTCTTACCTTTTCATAACCCAATTTAGCTTTGTCGATTTGTTCTACTATTGTTATATTCCCCGTTACACTTATCTCTGCTTTATGTCCTGTTATTTCCTTTCTTTTGTTTGCTTTGGATTAGGTTTTTCTTACCTCTCCAGTTCCTAAGGTGTCTGTCTGAAGCTTTCCTCCCTGCCCACCTCCTTTACAGGCCTCCCTACACACACAAAGCCTTAGGTACTTCCTGTGAAGACAGTGGTTTGCTGCTTTCTCTTTCTCAGTCATCTGCAACCGTCTTCAATTTCCTCTGACCTTTTTTTTTTTTTGTCCTACTGACTGTTTTAGAGAGAACTAATTTGTTATCATTGTGAATAGCTCATGCTTCCTTGTATTGTTAGTTTCTAACTGCACTTTATTACTGATGAAGTATGTAAGCACGTATTTCAGTCCTTTACAATGTACTGAGTTTGTTGATACAACTCGATACAGGCTATATCCTAGAAAATGTTTTCTGTGTACTTGACAAGTGCGTGTATTCGAGGGTTGTGGGCGACAGTTCTTGTAGGTGAATTTTACATCTGGTGAATCAAGGGAGCAACATTTAAACAGTAAAATGCATCAAAGACCAGAAGGAAATATTATTTCACTTCCCTGAATTTGAAGCCAAAATAACTTGCCTTAAATACAAGTAACAAGAATACAAACCAACAAAAAAGATTATTAAATGCCAGCAGTATACTTCTGCCTCTTCAAGTTTCTGGGCTTAAAGTTATTTGAGTGTTAAAAAAAAAAGAATGTCGTAAGCATGTATGACGTCACATTATCGCAAGATTAACATTTTGCCTTTGGGCCTAATCAGAACGACCAAAAGAGAAGTTAACAAAACAAAAAAGGAATTAGGCTTATTTCATTCTGAGTTTGCTCAGGTCCTTACACCATTCCTTCTGCCAATTCTATTTTAGAAAACTGACTGTGTTAGAAATCGGGCCTTTCAGAACTCTTTCTTCGCAGTGACTTTGCTAAGCCAGTTCCAAAGGGCACAGACCCCTAAAGCCGTCACTGTTGAGTCTCCGGGAAAACCCTCAATAAAGTCTGTAATGTAACAGACATATTTATTTATTATGCTCTGCTCAAGGAGCCTGGGAATGAGGAAATAATTTTCCTGTGGTCCTCTGCAAGAGCAGCCAGAGCTTATAACCACCGAGCCATCTTTCTGGCCGCTCTTAGGACTGTTTGATGCGATGAAACAGTCAGCTGCTACAGGTGTTCAAAACAAGGTCTTAAAACCAGAGACAGGTGGCTTCTCAAGACTCCCGGCTTCATCATGAAGCACACCAAGTGACATGCAGGTCACCTCTGTGAAGGGTGAGGTACCTGTACAAAATACTTGAACGTACTGCTTTGGGCCAATATAATTGGAATGATGGCGCAGAAAGAATGTTTTCTCAAAGAATTTAGAAGCCCAGGTCCCCAGATCTGAAAGAGCTTTTTAGCCTTGTGGGTTTGAGACGTGTGTGCGTTTCCCTCCGATTATAGCAGAAATTGCTGTGTAAGCCTGCAGCCCTGTTGGTGATGGCTGTACCGTGGTGGCTGAAGTTTAGATAGAAATCAACAGGTCCTAGGGGAGATAGCACGGAAGCTGTTCCCATGAGGGCTGGTTGAAGGGCGGCTACATGTCTTATGAGCCTTCGAGCTCTATCATGTTTAATCTATCCAAATGAGCAGCAGGGCAAATAAATTAAAAGAAATGTTTTCATTCAATTATATGATAAGGAAATAGTCAATCACCATCCATTAGTTAGGAGAACTAATGAGGACTATATTTCAGAAACACTAAACTGGTCTATAAATATGGCAGGTGCCAACATTTGTTGGCATTATAAAAATACTTGTCACTGATTGATGCCAAGGGTGTGTCACAGGGTGAGATGCCGCTTTTACCATTGACGCTGTTATCACCAGTAATCAAGGTGCCTGCTTTAGTCACCAGGCATATCGGTCCTTAGGAATAGGGACTATCTCTTGTTCAAATTTCTGCCTCCAGCACCCAATAACACAGTACCTGTTGGCTTCAGCACACAGACTCAACTCTACTGAATGAGTTTTTTTTTCCCTCTAATTTTTTCCCCCACATTGGCTTCAGTAAACTCAGTTCTGATCTGCCATGGCATCCTTCACAACCAGAGAAAAATACATTCCCTGGCATCGTAGATTTCCTTCTAACAAAGTGTTTACTATGCAAATTTTGAAGTCAGACTTTCCCAGGGAGCAATATAAACTAAAATAACATTTTTAACATATAAATCTTGTTGACCAATAAATGCATTAGAGTTTTAAAAATCAGCTTTGCAGATAAGATCTGTTAGGGATGGGAGCATAACTTATTGCTTTAAAACTGCTTTAGTAAGGTCGCAAGTAGGTTTCTTTAGCTAGCTTGTTCTTCTAGTCAACACCTATGCAATTCCATTTGTAAAAATGATGTATTTGGCTTTTAGGAGATCCAACCATCGTGTGAAGTGGTCTCATGCCGAAGTCAAGATGTATTCTTTTTCTCTGAACGTCACTTCTGGCTTCTTAATAAGTATGACTAAAGCCTACATTTATCTGCCAAAGATCCCAACAGACATTTTAGTTTACTAGCTAATCTCCTCGTGACCTGGTCTCTCTCCAGACACTCTTACCACAGTGCCACAAAGGTCCCTGCTTTCTTGTGTTAGGTCCAGGTTTTAACTCCACCCCAGTTGGTATTAATTTGCGTACACTTTGACAGATAGGATATTGTGCTATTTCGGGGGACTAAGTATGGACTCCTCAGTGACGCTGGAAACAGTTTTGATGCTGATGTCATTTGAACTCAGATTTGATTCATTGAAAGCCCACATTATTGTCCAAAACTCCTAAGAGCTCGCCACCCTTAACAGACACGTTGATCTAATTCTCCTTGCTTCTTATCCCCACATTAGGAAAAACTGACACAGTCTTTGAGAGATCCAGGTGTGGGTAAGAATCCAAATTGCAATCACTGTAAATAACAAAATTCTCAGCCCTGCAGGGGGTCATCTTCTTCTCTCTTTGTGAGTTGATTGGGAAATTATCCTTATTAGATAATAAGCATTGGAATGCCATAACATCTCAGAGCGGTAGTGACTGAGTGATTAACTTCTTACCTATAATACACGACTGAGTGATTAACTTCTTACATATAACACACTCAGGTGCTCTTTGTTTAATACGTCACTCTCTCCTCTTCCCCTTCCAATAGCTCACAAGGAATCTTATTTTTTTTTTTAAAAAAAAAAAAAAAGTGGAGATCAAAGACAAAGCCAAGGACAGCTCAGCCCCTAAGACGTCACCTTGATGGCCAGACCCGCTGGAGTCAGCTGCTCTGCGTTCCGTTCATTGAGGCAGTCTTCGCCCATCAGAGATGTGAGGTGCTGCAGACATTCTGCATGCCCCTTCGACGCAGCAACGTGTAACAGATTGTTTCCGTTCTCATCGTGAATTTTGTCCAGATTGTCTGCAGCTAGGTGTGGCTGTATGGGGGGAGGGAGAAGAGAGATGAAGGGAGAGGCTTCAATCAGTGAACCAAAACCAGACACTATGGAGGGTCTCCTCTGGGCACAGGGAAGAAGGAACAGCTCATGAGGGCCCTGGTGGCCTTGCAAGGATCTACTGAGTTAGAGTCCCTTGCTATTTGTCTTACAACATGCTTTAGAACAGTGGTTCTCAACCTGTGGGTCGTGACCCCTTTGGGAGCTGAATGACTCTTTTGCAAAGCATCCTCTAAGACCATCAGAACACACAGATATTTACATTACAATTCGTAACCGTAGCAAGATCACAGTTATGACAAACTGTGCATATAATGCACATAATTTCATGGTTGGGATCACCACAACATGGGAAACTGAATTAAGAGACCCTAGCATTAAGAAGGCTGAGATCCATTGCTTTAGAACAGGTACTCTCAAGGGACAGATGGTTTTGAGAGAAAGGGTCACCAAGCTAGGACCAATAAGCTGTGAAGGTTTGTAGTTGGTATTTTAGGTCCCTGAGGGGACACTGATGGCAAGCAATAGCTTCTCTATCTGTCACCACATGGCTAAGTGCTGGAGGGACAGGGCTATGCTTTATTGACTGTTAAAGGTTTGCTGGATGAATGAAGCGCTTGTGTCGAAGGCCTGACTTGTCACATGGCCTCCCTCTGCATGTTCCCTAAAGCTTGTGGCCACTAGGGTGCTCACAGCAACCTCTAGACATACCAGTGACTCCCTGGGGCATCTGGGATATCCGGAGGCAACCTGGTTCTTTGGCTATTTTCACTCCTCTGAGTATGAAGCGTCTGATAGAATATTTTGGGCAAACTCAGCGGTGTTAGCATTTGTGACTTCTGAATGTATGGGATGAAGGAAAACAATGAGCCCAAGAGAATCAGAGGCAACAGCTGGGGAAAATGGAAAAGACATTTTCACGAGAAACCAGTGATGGCTTCATGTGATAAAATCATCCAATCACATTGGTCCTGTTTGTGACAGCAGGCCCAGTGTGCTAAAGTTTCTCTGTGCAAGCGTAACATTAGTGGAGTCGCGATGCCACGATGCAGGCAGTGCGTTTCCTGAAGGAGACTTTATCCTCTGAGTAGGAGCCTAGGATTGCTACTGTCCGCTCAGCGTCTGGAAGCTAGGAAAACAGTGCAGTGGATGGAACGCTATTTCAGTTTAACTTTCTCAAGAGATGTTTCTTACACCAAGTAACTCTGTCTGGAGTCCTTGGAGATAATTCTTCATGTTCCCTGGACACGTAGTACTGGTGCAGAGCGAAAACCTCGTGTGTGGAGATAATTCTTCATGTTCCCTGGACACGTAGTACTGGTGCAGAGCGAAAACCTCGTGTGTGTCAGAGAACAATCAAACTCTAGGGGAAGCTGTATCTGCAAATGTTTTCCAACCCCCTGGCCCAACTTTTCTGAATAATGATCAGGGTGAAACAGAGAACTCTCTGTTCCCAGATCTGGCAGGTCTGCCATCAACTGAAAACTGACGTCCCCACAGAAACGGAGGGAGAGCATGGGGAACCATTCGAAAAGCAAAAGGAAAAAAAAAAAAGGCATAAACTCAACTGGCAAACAGTGCGGGGCTCTTTGTTTTGTTTTCCTTTTAGATTAAATATCTGTATTTCAGCTGAGGTCAGGTGATGTTAAACTGCCCCCACACGCTTCTGGAGCCATTTGCGTCCCCTGAATTAACCTCCTAACCTTGGCGTTCAGATATCACGCCTCTCAACTAAAGCAGCAAGTAAAGATTTAGCAAGGAATCAAACAAAGGGGGTGAAAATGAACAAAACATGGTATAGGAAATGCTCAAAGAGCAAATACAAAAATTCACAGAAAGGTGTGAAACAAACACTTCATCTGTTAGGAGACGGAGTCTGTAGGTCAGACAGACAGACAGTACTCACCAAGAGTGATATCTGTCCTTCTTTCACAATGTTCAGTATGCTTCTTACTTTCTTCAGGTTCTCACTCCTTTCTTCTGCGCCTTGGGCGTTGGTCCAGTTCATGCCATTGACCTGCTCTTCCGGTTTGGCCCCTGTTGCCGAGGACTGCAGGTGGAAGGCCCTGAGCTTGCAGTCTGGCCCTGCCTTCTCAATTTTTCGACTATGAGGATCACTAAAAGCCTTGTTCAGGAAGTCTTTACTGTGGTTCTCGGACTCATACGCAGGGGCGCATTTACCCAGAGCAGGTAAGCTCTCAGAGTCTTCTGTGCAGAGCTTGTGCTGGTCCCGGAGGACGGTCGATGCTTTCCTCAAGTGAGGACTTTTCACAGGAGAAAGAACACAAAATGGAGTCATGTTGGGTGTGGAGTTCTCAGAGCTTCCAATAGGACAGGCTTTACCAGAAAGGCCATTGATGGTTGTGCACAAGCCCAAAATCCTTTTCTCTGAAGACACCTTAGTGAAGGGAGCCAGCTGTTGACTGGATTTAATGTAAGGCACATCCAGAATCTCATCCATGTCAAGGTCGTAATGCTCCAGCTCGCCCAGTGCCTGGCTGGGCTCGGAGCCCTTACCTGGCAACCCCCTGACTCCATCTTCAGTGCTGAGTTCCTCGGGCTGGGGGCCCTGGTCAGTCTCCCCGCCTTTCTGGTACTCTACTGTATTGTTCTTTTGGTCATCATTTTCATTGTTTTCCAGCGTCTCTGGCTGATGTTTCAGCGGAGACACGCGCTTCACTGGGCGGAACTTACTGTAGACATCAGCGATTCCAGTGGGCTTTTGTGGGTTTGAAATGAGAGTTGAGACACCACAGTTCCAGCTAGTGCTTGAAACTGTTTAAAAAAAGTAATAGAGGAGACTGTTAAACTGAAATTCGAACAGAGTTTGGCCATGTAGGTAGACACAGCTCACTTAGGTTATGCTCACAGTAGGCCGCTTTATAAGGGGATAAAAATCATGAGAGGACATATATCCAGAAGACTAATGCTTCATACTTACCACTGAAAGTCAGAGAAAGACAAGAAAGTCATGATATAATGTCCCAGAACTAATTGATAACGGCAGGAAGTTAAAATAAATAAACCCTGACAGATATTTTATGATTGGGTGTCTCTGATACTGTTTACATGTTTGCCACCACCCTCAAACAAAAACAAAAGAGAATAGGACTGGGCTTGCACACTAAGCCAGCGAACCAGTGATATATGTACACACATACACACACAGAAGCATGTACCTGCCTGTACACACATCTCTAATGTCTAAGATATCCGTGTGAAGGAATCATAGCTCGTCTTCTACAAACTCAAATTGTGACCTACTAGGTGACCTGACAGGTTTCTGTTAGATGTTTAGGGACAGCAAGAAAAAGCATAAAGTGGTTAGGTGCTCGTCTGTTCACGGGAGACACGTCATGACGGAGCCAATCCACCCTACACTGAGCATCCTAGACAAACATCGTACAGGGCCATCTCGTGGCGCTTCTCAGCCTATGACACCACATAATACATTTCCATTTGACAACAGGACATACTCTTTAGAGCAACACTGTTCTCCGTATTGGGAAAGGGAGAAACCAGAAAAGGGGAGAGTCATGAAGGGCGGATAGGGAAGGCAGACTAGTACTCAACATTGTTTTTTAAGTTTCTCTCATTTTTGTGCAGTTAAAGATTGCAGGCCGGCCTACCTTCAACTGGTTGAGATGGACAGTGAGGGAGTCAGGCACATTGGGAGAGAAAAGATAAAAAAAAAAAAATCACACTCTCTTCTAATAAACCTCAACACAAGCAAGATGCCTGGTAGCCTATCTCAGAGCGGACTGATGAAGCTGCAGGGCTCGCGCCCACAGCAGGGCTCTATTCTCCTCTACTAGAAGGCAGATGGTAGTACTCTTGCAAGCTAGCAGGCTCCTTTACAGTTTTCTATTCTTCAGCTGTTAGTTTCTATCATTGTCCATCAGGCAGGTAAAGCTTCCTTCCAACTACCCTCTATCCTATGAAACAAAGTGGGCGGGAAGGGTTTCATCCCAGAGTGAGCAAACCTGCCTGTCTTTGCTGTTGGGCACAGCCAAAGGGTGAGAGCCCCCGAGACAGCAGGAGTGCTCAGTCCTGTGACTTTTACAGTAACCTCTGGTAATGACTGCTTCTTACAGTTAAAGGGATCCCTCAATTCGTGCTACTAGCCGTTGTTCATACCGACATCTGTCCTAAAATCATGCAGGGAAGTTATGGAATGAAGCAAAGGGAGGAGTGAGTGGGCTTGCCCATCATAAAATCCCAAGTTCTGTCCCCCAAATGGTCAACAACTTGGCATGAGGTTCAGAAGGTCTGTTTTGCACACTCCAACCTCAAGGCTTTTCCAACTCTCAGACTTTAGAAGGGAAGAGGACTCTGAAAGCTATGGGAGGAGAGCTGGTTTCTTCCCAATGAGCAACACACAGTAAAGGACACCCCGAAGGGAAGGAAGGCATCTCAATTGCCGCCTGCTTCTCTTACCCACACCATTTTGTGTCTAGAGTTCTTAGCCATACCCAGTGCTCAGCCTGGAGCAAACGACGGACAGACACACATACGTGAACTTGAATCTCATTCTGCACAATTCACTCAATCGTATAACACGTGTAAAGTGAATGCTTCTGAGGGATTTTCAGCTTAATTTCCCAGAGGGAAATAAGTTCCCTTCATAAACCCAAAGGAGTGATAATCGCCGGGAAAAGCTAGAGTCTTTAAAGTCATTTATGAAATGTCAATATGGAAAGGCAAAGGCCAATTATTCTAATCAATTTCCTATAAATATAAAAATGTCTACCTTTTATATGTTCTTTTCTTCCTAAAAATGTGAAGCTATGAAAAGCTATCGTTTGCCAGAAATTTCTGCCAAGCCATTTTCTCTGCCTTAAGAACACACAGTGCCTCTTTCACACGAAGCAACAGGGAGATAGAGATCATGGAGCTTATAAGGTGTAAGTAGGCATTTAATTTTACTCACCAACGTTCCCCAAATTTATAAATATTGTGGGAAAACCTATTCATAGACAGTGTGAAACACATGCTTATTGCTTGGCATGGTATCTGCTCATATTTTGTCACTTCCCTTGATTTCTTTGGAGTTCTTAAAAACTATGAATCTTAGAACGTTTTTAAAATATTTAAAGCACATGACTTAGTGGGTCAATGCAACGAGTGCCCTGTACTGATATATTTATGTATTATGTGAGGTCACAGGTTCAAAGGGCCACTCTTTTATGTTGGCTTTATTTACATATGAACTTTTTTCCAAGCGATACAGGGAAATGGGTACCATATGTTTCCCAGCTGTTTTGTTCTGACAGGAGCCATTAAGAGCGCTCTATGTAAATGAATTCTGCCTGTGTTTTATGAAAACACTTCTTGCCCTTCTTTCCACAGAAAGGTCTAGAAACTGAAGAAGGAGTGTCAACATTTGGGAATGTTGTCTTTTTCCTCAGTCAAGCCTATAAGGTTGTTTTGTGGGCTTAGGATGAAATCTGGGCCTTCAAGCCTGTCTTGATTGCCAAGGGGGGGAAACCTGCTTATGAAAAATGAACTAATGGGTGTCACGAGAAAGCTCAAATTTTGTGCCATGTCACATATTTGGATGAGCAGAAATGCAGCAAACAAAAGACAAACACCCATTTCTTTCTCCTAAGCGGGGCAAATAAACACAGCATAAGAAACAGATTATTAATGGCAGGCAAGGTTTTCCCTTTCAATTCTTTAAGGGTCCCACCAAATTTGCTTTATTGTTGTTTTGTTACAGAACCGTCATAACATTCTAGTCATCCGTGGAAACACATTTCACACTAATGGGCTACTGGGAAGGGTTTTGAAGCTAGATTTCTTCGCTTGAAACCATGCACAAATTGTTGACACGTGAACACAATTTAAATCCCTGAAAACTTTTATCTTAATCTTTACAAATTCGATGAGAACAGTATCTGTGTTTAATTTAGCTCTCTATCCTTCAAAAATTCCCAGTAGATTGTTTACATAAGAAGGTTCTTAACGATGTTTTGCTTTTAGAGATGTTCATCTTTAACATCTTATTTATAACAGTAAATATGCCGAGTGCACCTTCAATCTGCCTACCTGATGGAGTCACAAAATTTTAAAATGATCAGTAATAAGAAAGATGTTTATGATGCCAGTTTATAGGCAAAACAGTCTCCTAGAGTCTAGCTGGCATTTGGGATGCTCTGTGCATTAGCAAGAAAATTTCAGTCACCTCATAACTACCAAAAGCCAGCCATTTTCCCAGCAAGCAATAATGCCAATCTAGAATATGAAAGATTCTCTGAATGGCAGTGCAAGAATCCAAGGGTCTGACTCTCTCCACCTCTGTCTGTTTCCACTCTCGCCATTCTTGAAGCCCCCCTTACAATCCTCTTGATCCTGACATGAACAACCATAGTGTCATTTATATAGTTTCTTAAGTCGTTCATTCCTCAAGGCATCGTCTGTCCCTCTATTTCCTTGATCCCTGCCCCACATTGCTCAGACAAAAATTTGTGGCGTTATCCCAAATTTCTCTTAAGCCTGGCCCCTTTTCTGTACCCTTCCTGCACTAACTGGGTTATACTAAGATCCTTTTCCACAACCATCACACACTGGGTTCCTTTCTCTCATTGGTCTCTCTAGCCTAGCTAAACCCTCTTTGGGTAAGATTGAATTTGTCACCCAAAATTAGCTCCCAAACCTCAGGTATCTCATACTTCCTAAAATGATATTGCCTCAGGCATACAATGAATATTCCTTACTGTCAGACACACCCTAGGACCCATGATAAACACCCTCATTTACAGCGTGAGAAAACTATTCAGTGGTCAGCCTTCTTCTTCCTTCTCATTTGCTTAAGGAATCTTAGTTTGGTGCTAGAATTTAATTCCTCTCCACAATGCAGAATAGCCCTTACTAAACTGACTGCAGGCTTCAGGGTCAGTGGCTTTCATATGAATGAACTGGAGGGTTTCATGCTCACCACATTCCTTTCAGTGATGACCTCATTTCAAGAAATATTTGTATTCGGTTCACAATATCTCTTAAGAAACAAATATTCTTAGAAGTAAAGTGCTCTAGAAATATTAAATAAATAAAAGCATACATTATATATATTTAAAGATAAAAACAAAAAAGGGACTTTTGGATATAGCCCATGATGTAAAATGTCCCTTAAGTTACAAGGTTTGTGGACACTGGCTTTTTTGTTCATAGCAAAATTCTTTAGCATGGTCTGCAATGGTTCTTTCATTCACCTTATAATTTACCTTCTTCTCTCAGAACTCATGAGTCCCAAAGCCCCGCCTTTCCGTTCTCCTCCTCTGTTAAATTCAATCTTTCTGGAAATGCCATGGTCATCTATCATTGTTCTTGCCTTTGGGCCTTTTCTTATGAATTCCTTGCTGCTGTCGCTGCCAGCGACTCATGTTCATCATACACGAGTCATCCAGTGTTGCTCCACTGAGCCCCTTCTTTTGACTCTCCCAAGAAACAGCTGGGAGAGTTTTTTAAAAAATGCTTTACGTCTCAGCTCCCTGGCAATACATGAACACGCCTGCAGCAAGTCTGGAGGTGCCATACCAACTTCACCTTCTCCTGAGGTCCCTCAAGGATACGGGTTCTTCAAGAAGCTACTTCTGCTTGTGACCAGCTCATTGCCTAGCAAAGATTTTCAAAGGTGACCCAGTCTTTCTATGAGTGAGTGAAGGGACCAAAAATGCAAAGTATAATAAACAAGTTTTGTTACAATGAGCCTTTTTTTTTTCTAAACTGAGGTGAGGTAAGTTATTAAAGTGGCTTGGACAGTTAGAAGGCATGCC